CATGGAGTGGCCGTGAGTGGTAAGCAGGGTGACCATGTGACTTATAATCTTGACACAACACTTGGGGCATCAGAGGGGTTCCCTTTTGTAATTATGAACTTGTCCCATGCAAATTGGGATGCTTGTTCACATCTAAATCTAAATAGGGTCAGTGCCTATCATATGCTGAGTACAGTGCCTGGTGCCCAGAGGGAGCGCTCCAGAACTGTTAACACTGTGCTGTTACGATTGTTGACCTTCACAGCAATTATAGTAGGCTTAGTGTCAAGTTTTATTATGTTTATTTATTAATTATATTATGTTTGGTATTTCACATTAAAATTTTTTAATCTACCCCCCAATAAAAGGATCTATAAACAAAAGTCAAATATAAACTCAATTCCCATTGCCGAAGGAGCTAATATGGTTTCCAAGATGCTTAGTAGTAAAGAATTCAGTGGCCAATGAGAAGAACCTCATGCACGCTCCTTGAATAATCTGCTCATGGGTAGTTTGCTCCTACAAGTCAAATTACCAAAATAAACAACAACAAAATAAAAAGCTGACTGAAATTAATATGAGGAGCCACAATTTATTTCCAATGCCTTTCCCACATTTATAAAGTAGGGAAATCTGATTCTAAAAATAAAAAATAAGCTACAAAAAAAGGCTCACCTACAGCAAACCTCCTGGTTTTATGTTGTTTCAACTCAGAGAAGAATTGGTCTTCAAGTAATTATCAAATACAATAAATGAATGTTAGAGGAAGAGCAGTCGGTGTGGTGCCAGGGGCGGAAGGACAGCAGAGAATGAGTGGGACCTGCACCGCATTTCTTCTCTTCCATGGTCGGAGGCTTCCCGCCATCCTCCACCCACCTCTCCCGCCAACCTCAGGGACACACAATCAGTCATCGAAAGGTTTTCATGTGAAAATCTGTGATGCGGATTTGTGATCATGAGGAGCTGTGGTGTGTGTGGTGTGGTGCTGCCTCACCTGGCTGCCCGCCGTGCTGGCTGCGGCCCTCTGCACACACAGTGCCCAGGGCAGACTTTCCCTTTGGTGTATCTCTTGGGGGGGTGTTATGGTTGGATACATGGTGTCCCCAAAAGCTCATGTGTGAGACAGTGCAAGAAAGTTTAGCCTTGACCTAATCAGTGCGTTAATCCACTCGAATGGATTAACTGGGTGATGACTGTAGGCAAGGCAGGGTGGAGGAGCTGGGTCACTGGGAGCATGCCTTTGGGGTTTATAGTTTGTTTTGTGGTAGTTTTTTTTTTTTTTTTTTTTTTTGGTACTGAGGATTGAACCTAAGGGTGCTTAACCACGGAGCCACATCCCCAGCCCTTTTTATATTTTATCTAGAGACAGGATCTTGCTAAGTTGCCTAAGGCCTTGCTAAGTTACTGAGGCTGGCTTTGAATTTGCAATCCTCCTGCCTCAGCCTCCTGAGTGACTGGGATCACAGGCGAGTGGTACCACTTCCTGATGGGCTTTACATTTTGTCCTGGTGAGGGAAGCTCTCTCCCTGCTTCCTGGCACCATGTCCCCACGCTTTCCTGCAGCACACTCTTCCTCCATGATGTGCCACCTCACCTCAGGCCCCAGGAATGGAGTCGGCCGTCTGTGGATGAAGACCTTCCACATTGTGAGCCTTAAATAAACTTTTCCTAAAGGGTCTAAAATTGTTAAAATTGTTCTTATCGGGTCTTTTGAGCACAGAAGTGAATTCGCTGACTTAAGCGTGAGATTATCAAGTAATCCTGTGTTTAGGGTGGCACAGAGTATCCTTCCTGGTTTTTTGGATTAAGCAATTCCCCAGCAGAAACTGGACCCAACTTTCATGGGTCCTCTGGTGGCCTGAACAGCCCTTTGCTGCCTGCTGACTGGAAGAGTGAATGTCACAACTGCCCCCCCCCCCCCCCCCCCCCCCCCCCGGCACCTTCAGAAGCATCCCTCAGAAGGGCGCCTCCATCAAGAACCTTTCTAGTGGAGGATTTAATTCTACCTTTTTTTATAGCTATTAAAAACAAAAGTACATTTGAAGCAAAATGATTTAATAAGCAGCTAGGCCAATTTCTTCACCTACTCCATCTCTTTGGAGAAGGCGGAGCAATCTCTGCCCGCCACGCTGAGTATTGGGGGGAAACTGAGTGTCGAGGAGCACCTAATCTGGAAGAGTCTACTGGCAGGAGATATTTCCTGTCAGAAATCCAGCACTAAGGGCTGGGGCTGGGGCTTAGCAGCAGAGCACTCGCCTACCATGCATGAGGCACTGGGTTTGATCCTCAGCACCACATAAAAATAAAATAAATGTATGTGTCCACCTACATCTAAAAAAAATAAATGTAAAGAAAAAAAGAAATCCAGAACTAAAAATCAGGTGTTTTGTGTGGCAGCTTCTCTCAGACCCTGCTCCCCACAATTTGGAGAAAAATCATAAAAGTATTGCCCATAAACCCTGCTGCCCCACATTCACCCAAAGCACCGCCCAGCACAGAAAACTCCCCTGGCGGCCAAGTAGGGATTTGAGGGAGCCGATGCTTTATCTTCTCCAGTTCCTTCAATTCATCATTTTTACCGGTGCCTAGAGAGATGGAGCAAGCAGAGTGCAGGGAAAGGGCAACCGTAGAGTTTCCAACTAACACACGTTGAGCAGAATGAAAATGCCCACGTCCCTGAAAACATTTGTTTTTGTTTTTTCTTTTTTACTTCATTGACTCTAAAATTTCCCCAGTGGGGCGTGGTGGTGCACGCCTACCATCCCAGTGAATTGGGAGGCTGAAGTAGGAGGACGGCAAGTTCGAGGCGAGCTGAGCAATTTAGTGAGGCCCTGTTTCAAAAAATAAAGGTCTGGGGATGTGGCTTAGTGACAGAGCACCTGGGTTCAACCTCTAATACAAGAAAACAAAATATTCCACAGGATGTATGTTCATTTTATCAGGTTAGACAGCACAATACAGAAATGATCTCCCTTTGTCTCCCCCACCAACTTCTGATAACCATACCTGATATTCCTATTAACACACAGTAGTCTATTTAAAGGAGTCCTCATTCTTCTTAAAGTAGCTTTTAAGTACAGAACAACAACACATCTACTGTCACACTATACGTACCACTCTGGAACCTTTTCTCAACTACCCTACCTTGGACATCCTTCAGGGGATGCAGACCCAGCTCATTTATTATAAAACAAAAAAGGAACATGTGCCACAGTGTCCGTGGGTCTTACTCCACCCCGTTGTTCCTGGGACACACGTCCCAGTGGCTTCTAACTTGGTCTCTGTGATACTGCTGCAGTGGGTGCCTGTCCATCACCAGTCGGCCGCATGGTCCTCAAACACCACTTTCAGGCCACACAGACTCCTCCTGGTGTCCTCCTGTTGCAGCTGTCCCTCTGGAGGCCCAACTCCTGTCCTGCCCTCGCCGCCACCCCCTCCTCCCCTCACCCTCTTCTGCGTCCATTGAGGGCCTGCCTGATGCGGCCTTCTCGCTCGCTTGCCGTCTGCATTTCCTCCTTCTCCACTGACGCCTGAGTGCTCGTGTTCCTGGGCATGGCCTGTGCCCAGGCCCTCCTCCCCCGCTCAGCGCTCCTCCCTTAGCTCCTCATCCATTCTCACCACCTTCCGTGCAGCCAGCACCTCCCCAAAGCCTGTCACCAGGCAGAGCTCGCCCGGGATCTGGGACACTGCGGGCCTGTTAGTGCCTCTGCTTGCTGCGCCTGAGTCCACACGCCTCCAGCAGAGCCCCTGGCCGATCCTTCACAGCACTGGTCCGCTCTCCCCTTTCCACCTGAGTCGGGCACAGCTGGCATGGAGGGCTGTGGGCCTGCAGCAGCTCTTTGCCAGGTGTGGGAGGCAACGGGATGGAGGAAGGGGCCCTGCTTGGGGTCCCTGCTGAGTCGAAGCTCAGGGTGAGGATGTGAGATCAGAGGAGCCCAGAGGCAGGCCGTGCCCAGGCCCTCCCGCCCTCCACCTGGTCCTCGGTGATCCCCCTGGTGACAAGGTGGGTGCAAGGACAAAGCGGGAAGACAGTGGTCCCTGGGCTTCCCACCAGCTCTGCAGAGAAGTGGCCCAGGAGTCATGGTGAGGGGACAGGGGCTGAAGGGGTCATTGAAGGGGTAATGAGGCCTTTGCCCTCATGTTGACATAAGAAATAGTTTCTCTAAAAAGCCTGCTGTGGAGTCCCTGGCCTCCTCGGATGCTCCGGGCCTACAGGGCACCTGTGGCCGGGACATATTAATAACAGTAAGCCCCTGTGCAGACCTTGAAAGCGCCCTTCTGTATGGGACAGGAGGGTAAGGGCAGGGAGCCCTGGGGGCCAGAGTGCAGAATCAGACACCTACCCCTCAGTCCCTCCCAGGAGGGGAGCTAGAGCCCCAAATCACTGACACCGGAGGACCCTCCAGCAGAAACAGCTGCAAGAAATGGTTTTTATGAAGTTGCCATGTTTAAGGTCTACTCTGTATCAGCTCGGCCATAACCACCATATGTGAATTGTTAATAAAAAGTATTTTTTTAACTTTTCAGCAACAGATTTGTAAACAGAGTTCTTCAGCATTGACAGTGTAGCGCTGTGCTAAGCACTGCGCATGTGTTACTGTGTGGACCCTCCGACCTAGTTCACAGATGAGGAAACGGAGGTGTAAAGGTTACGCAGCTTTCCCAAGGTCATCTGTTATTTTCTGAAGTTTGGGCCTGCGTTTACCTGGACACACGAGACCTGTCTCCCACTCATTTTTCATCCCTCTCTTTTTCTTTCTTCACTGTCAATTTGCTTATCTTTCTTGAATGCAGATTTCTTTTCTGACATTTCTCTGATTCTTACAGTGAGTTAGGTACCAGGGTAGTCGTGTTATTTTCAAAGGAGTACAAAGTGACTGTTCCTGGGTGCCATGAATGTTCCCTCTGGCTCTGGCCACCGAGAGGCCTGCTGCGCTGGGTGGGCATCGCACGGTGAGTGTTGCTCATTCTTTTTTCAGGATCCATGTCTACCTAACATTCCTCTTGTTTCTCGCTGAAAGGAAGAAGATCTCTCTCCCCGTGGCGGCTGTCACCAGCCTATGGCTTCGGCACCTTCCCAGCCTTGAAAGAGCAGTGCTATGTCTTTTTGAAAAGCTCGTCTCCAGTGAGAGGCATCGTCTGAGAGAGATCGAGTGCTTTGTCAAAGATTCGTTACTGGTACGTGCGAGGCTTGGTGAGGGGAAAATCCTCAAGGGAGATGCTGGGAATCGTTTCTTGGAGTTGAGGGTGGGGCGGGTGTAAATAGGAGATGGGTGTTTACATTTTATCTTGAAAGCACCCGGTTCGCCAGCTTTTCTATGCACTTGGTGCCTAGAGGGAGAGGTTTGAGAGCCACATGATCCCTGGGCCTCAGATGGTGTATTCACAGGATGGACATTTAGACAGCAAAGGTGCTGGGGGCTCTGCAAAGGAGCACTTTATTGGCCCCTCCCCGTTGCACTTGTCGGAACGCAGTCCGCTCTGTCCGCGGCCCGCCTTCTCCCCACACCACAGGATGGTGGTGCCCGGGAAGGAGGCTGAGCACTGCTCTTCCCCGGCCCCCCTGTCCTTGCCACAGGTGCCCTGCAGGCCTGGGGTGCCCAAGGAGGCCAGGGACTCCACAGCAGGCTTTTTAGAGATACTATTTCTTATTTCAACATGAGGGGGAAGTTTTCTAAAAATGAAGATCTGTGGCCAAGGGAGAAGAGGAATCAGTTAACAGAAACAGTTTAAAAATAAGCCTCTTGCTCTTCACCAGAGGAACAGTAGCAGTCAGGAGACCAAAACAGAACCCAGAAAAACGACCAGAGCAGCGAGAGAGCTGAGGTTCTGGAACTTTCTCTCGGGTGAGGCTCTCAGCCTTGGAACCTCCTTCTGTGATGGCTCCACTGCCTTCGTCCCCAGGTCTGTGAAGTCAAGGACTCAGTGGCCCCAGGGCCACACTGCCTGGCCCAGCGTCAGCCGTCCTGCGGCTCCTTCTGTGGGAGGCAGCTCTGTGCAGTCAGTGTGCAGTTATGTTAAGAAATCAAGATGAAAAAATCGAAAAAGCTACATGTCACAGTGGACCAGCCAGGGTGGCCCCACTCCTTGGTCCTTTTATCTCTCAATCAAGTGACAAGTGAATGAGGCATGGGTAGTTTCCACATGACCTGGTTTGTACCAAGACATACAAGAGCAGAATGAGTACAAATAAGCACAGGAATGTGTGAAAATGTAGACAAAAATAGGCAGAAGAAAGCCGAGCGTGTTGGCGCACCCTCCTGAGTGTTGAGGCCAGCACTCAGGAGGCTGAGACAGGAGGGTGCCCTGAGCCCAGGGGTTCTCATCTCAAAGCAAAGGGGAAAAGTCAAAATAACAGATTGTGTCCACAGAAGAAAGGTCTGGAGACTGTGCTGTCAAGCCACACTCGATGGCTATGTGTTGCTGTGAAGGCCGCAGCCCAGGGGGACCTGTTCTCTGGGGCAGAGCATGGACTACGGGGTGTAGTCGCAGCAAGTGTCGTGTCTCCGAGGCCATCTGAGGATGCTGGTGCCCACTCCTAGCAGGCACATGACCAGGCCTCGGGGTCAGGAGAGAAAAGCCCAGGATATCAGCTCCTTTGCATGTTGGTGACAGCTGTCAGCCGCTTGGCTCAAGTCACACCTGTGTGACAAGAGAAAGCCCAAAGTGGAGTTGGTGCTGTCAGAGCATAGCCACATCTGTCACACTTGCACCACCAGCTGGAGAGTCACAGGAGTGATGACGTGGCAAGCTGCCATCGCCGCAGGGCTGTGCCGTGTGCCACAGAGTGTCTCCCAGGACCCTTCGTGGACTGCCATGTTTCCCATCCACTGTCACCTCTGAGGGTTTGGCACAGAGTCGTGAGCTCAGAGAGCTCTGCTGACAGCCCCATCCCAAGTGTGGCCAGGACACGGGTCGGGAGTGTCCACCTGGTCCTGGCTGAGACGCTTGGGGCCAGGGCTGGCTGGGCCCAAGGTCCTGTGCTCACCAGCAGGGCCTCGTTGCCTCCAGGGCCTCCTCTGTGTTTAATTCTGCTGGAACCTCCTGTTTTCTTCTTTCTCTTTCAAGCTGGAGGCTGAGTGTGGGAATCCCGGTGGCACCAGTTGCCGCCTCCTCTGGGGCCTGCCCACCTGTTGTTCCAGGGCCCCTCCTGCTCTTAGTGTCTGGGCTTCCCAGTCAGAGAACCATGTGGGTCCTGCCACTGTCACCTGCCAGTCGGGTGCCCCGACTGAACCCACTCGATCTGAAAGTTTACAGCACTTGGTAAGAAAAAAGAAAGAAAAACACATATTAAGACTGAGAGACCCCAAGAGTTCATTTTTAAGGGCAGTTACTATTTGATCTCCTCATTTTCAAGAGAGTTGCATATTAAAGCAAGAGATAAGAATGCACCTTACTTTAAAATAATCACAACACAATTTAAAATAAACAAAAAATTTTGGAAGCCCTCTGGCAGCCCATTCCAGATTGCTAAAGGCAATAAATCACCTTTATTGCCTCGTAATTTTATTTCTGACTTAAATGCGCATGCTGTAACTTAAGGCACTTTTCTTCTGGTTGCTTCTCAGCGGTAAAATAGAGAAAGTGGACTATGTGCTTCTGAGAGGCTTGACCAGTTTTCTGTGAGCCCCTTTCAGTGGAGAACTTCCCGCCCTGTGGGTTTTTTCGTGACCCTTCATTGCTCCTGTGGCTCTTCTCTGAACCTCCCCTGTGTCCCTTCTACGTGAGTGGCACTTTAGTGAGCACAGCAGAGAGAGAGGCGCCTCTCCCATCGGACATCACATTGCAGAATCTTCAGGCACTGTTTGTAGTGGACCGTAGCCTTGCCCGCTGAACAATGCCAGCGCCCATCGATTCCCCAAGAGTTTATCAGGATCATGTGTTAGAGATTCAGAGCTTTTATTATGGTTCAAAGGAGATTCTAGAGGGTGTTATTTGGTTTAATTTATTGTGGCATTGGCAGGATGTGACCTCTCTGTGCCTCATGGTTCATGGGAGGTAATTACAATACAGACTGGCTAGAAGCCCCTGATTGGCGTGGGCCACTCTCCCCAGGCATCGTGGCCTGCCATGCCCGAGGGCCCCTCGGGCTGGAACAAGCCTGTGACCTACAGGGTGATTACGGGGGTAACCTGAAGAACTGTTTCCTAATTGCATCATCCTACCTGTTTATCGCAGCGCAGTATCTTGGTGCAGTGACAGGACCGAGCCGAGGTATCAGCTGGATCTCCAAGACCCAGCACCAGCCTGCTGTGCTGTGCTGCAGAGGAAACCCGATGCCTATTACATTAGAGTCCGGCTCTGAGAGTAATTAAAGCGTGATGGTCTACGTAACTCGTGTTTTATATGGAACGCCGTTAATTATATTTCCATCTCTGGGGACTCTACACAGCGAGTCCTGGAAATTCTATAGTTACCAAGATATAGCAAAGCACAAGATGAAAGTGCTGTAGAGTGCGGTGACCTCCCAGATGTTCCTTGGCCTCTCAGGACTGCAGAGGCCTGGTGTGCTCCCCTGAGACTCCAAATGATAGGGACTGGTCTGTTGTCACATGAATTTTATACACACACACACACACACACACATACACACACACATCTTTGGTTTCTAAAATAAAAATGAGTTTTCCAAACTGTTTATTTTTGGGGCTCATCCTTTGGCTTTCATGGACCAAACTGTCCCCTAGTACATGGCTGCTTGCCACAGATGGTGGCCCCCAGATAAATTGAAGTTTGTACAAGTTTTAACCCCAGTTTTTACTGTACAGACTGAAACTTCTTAAAAGAAGATGGTCTTAGCCAGGAGTGGTGGTGCACACTATAATCCCAGCAACTCAGGAGGCTGAAGCAGGAGGATCATGAGTTCAAGGCCAGCCTCAGCAATTTAGTGAGGCCCTAAGCAACTCAGCAAGACCCTGTCTCGCAGTAAAAAATAAGAAATGGCTGGGGATGTGGAACACTTCTGGCTCAATCCCAGAACCCAAGCAAACCACAGCAACAAGAAAGAAAAGAAAACACAGATGGTGCTTTGCTCCCTGGCAGCACCGTCACAGGAAGGCCACAACCCCTGGCCTCAGACCTGCCCTTAAAGACTGGTGCTGTCACCAAGAGCAGTGGAAGCCACTCGCAAAGCATGCAGCCTCTGGGTTCCCGAGGCTGGCCCCAATCAGAACAAGGCTGTGCTTCCCCTTGGTTCTGTTGGTGGGCCCAGAGAGCTATTGTTTGGAGCCTGCCCTGAGTGAGAAGGCTGGCAGGTGGCAGGGTGGCTGCGCTACGCTGCTGTGTGCCAGGGCGGGGCACCCTGGACCTGCAGTTATAGCTACTGCAGCGGTGTCCTGAGGAGCTGCTTGTCACCTCCCCAGCAGATGGAGAGGCTGGCACTGAGGGGGCAGGGTTGGTTTGGGTCTTGTGCCCAGGTGATGAGTCCACTCCTCCCCGATTCTCCTGCCTAAAAGGCCTCACAGCTCAACCAAAGCACTTCTTAACTCGAAAGAGCTTCAGAACAAAAGCTCCGGCCACCTCAGGGCTCTTGGTGTGAGCTAAGTGTGCGCTCGTCTTCTTTCTCCAGACAGCAGTCGTGACCATCTCAAGAGGAAAAAGGGACTTTGTTTCCACAAGATCGCAGGGCACAGGTTCCCTTTCGCAAAATGCTGTGATGGAAACAGCTCCACAGCCTGCACGATGTGATCCGTTTCTGTGCACAGATAGCTGTCACTGATGCTCTAGAGTTTTCTTTTCCTCCTTTTCCCCTCCACAGTCTTTTAAGTATTTCCTTTTTAATGTGTTGCATGAGTGGAAGACTCTCAGCAGTGGCTGAAGCTGTGGGCTCTGCCTCCAGGCAGCAGCTGCACTTCCCAGTGCTGACCTCTGGGGGGCACCAGATGCCCCTGGACTGTCTGGTAGAGAAAGCCCAGACTGCAGGACAGTGTCCCTGCTGGGGATGTGACCCTGCAGCCAGGCAAAGATGGAGCCTGCGAGGGAAAACACACAGGCGGACAGCAACAAAAGCCAGGGCAGCCGTGCCCCGGGCGTCCTTTACCACTCAGGCTGGCCCCAGAGTGGTGTGGGCACCGAGAAAGCTTCCCCCTGCTCAGGCTCCGCAGGCTGGCTGGATCCAGGCACTGGTCCAGGGACCAGATTTCAGGGATTTTTGTCCAGCGTCCAGAGCTGGGCATCCCCCAGGTGCACCTCCCACTTCAGTGTCTTAGAGAGCGTGTGTAAATTTAAAACGCAAAAGTACATTTGGTACTTGTTAAGTTTTTAAGCCCAGGAATGACAGATTTATCACTAATTAAACAATAATTGCATTATGGAGTACTGAAAAAAATTGCTCGTAGTATAAACAACATCTGGTAAAGATTAAAAAGAAAGAATAATTCCTCTAAACCCAAATTTATTGTAAGAAACTTGAATGTTTTAAAACAAAATAGATCCTAAAACGTAAAAGGAATATTTACAGTTTTATGTTTAGCATTTTGAAAATAGGGGGAAAATGGCATCATGAAAAATACATATTTATAAAGATGCCTAATTTTATATGGTAGATGTGAAGGTTTTTATATAAATAGATTGTTTGAAAACCAAATCATTCTTTAACTCAATAAAGGCGTTTATTGTTGGAATTAATCTTAGGGAGAATCTTTTTTAAGTAGAAAGCTTTCGTGGTGGATATAGTTGCCCTTTGATTTACATGTGTATACCAGCCGGCGACAGAGGCTCCCAACAGTCGGATCCTCGCAGGACCAGGCGGCCTGGCTGGTGGGCCACGTGGAGGGGGAGTCCTTCTGCAGATTGCTCAGATGGAAACTTCCTGAGCATTCAGATGGGCCTTGGAAAGAGAATCCATTGCGAGCTCCCTAAGCTGCAGCTCCTTGCTGCTCATCTGCACCTTCCGTCACGATGGTGAAGGGGCGTGTGTCCATGAAGAGTGGTGACGGGAAGAGACTGGGGGAGTTCCTGCCCTTGGCCACCTTTGTAGTTTTTTCTAAGAGGCATTTGCTTTTAGCTGTGAATTACCTCAAATCATGATTTGATTTCCCTTTCTGGTTTGTTTTCTGTGCCTCTCTCACATGCACAGAATCAAAAAATAGAAAAAGATGAATATTTCTTCCTGAGACTTGCTCATCTGTGTTCTCAGTTCTCTTCTGTGTGTTTGTAATAGTCATTGCTGGTTTGGGATGAAGGCATAAAACACCTGTGGGTGGAGCTGGAGCTCGATGCTGTCCGCAGCTCTCGGGGCTGGCGGCAGGGCCTGTCCCTCTCCTCTCCCAAGCAGCAGCAGCAGCAAGCATGGCTGCTGTGCCCTTCCTCCACAGCGATGGCCCCCCTGCTCTGGGGCAGCTGTGGACCAGCCATTGGAGGCCAGGTGGCTGTGGGCTGGCTGTGGGCTGGAAGGAGGGCGGACTCACAGCCAGCAGAACCACCCAGGCCAAGGAGGGCAAGACCAAGCGCCTGCAGCTGCTTGTCGTCCCTGTCTGTCTGTCCTCTGACATTTAGGGGAAGGATTGCAGGAGGGAAGAAGGCAAACTTGTGTTCTTGATAGCCTCCTGACGACAGGGTTTCCTTAGACTTGAAATAATCTGTGCATGAAAATCGTTAGGCCAGATGGAGAAGAGGGAGCTTGAGAAGGAACAGATTTTGGTGGGATGGAGAAAAACAGACGAGCAGATGGACCCAAGAAAGTTTTTCTTTCTTCATTTTCAAGGACAGATAATTGCACAGATCATGGGGTCTCTGAGCTAGGCTCCAGAACCTTGGGTGACAGTGACCTATGCATGTCACCAGAGCTCCCCCTTGATCAGTACAGCAGGAGACAGAGGGGTTAAATGTTTGCCTCATCACTTGCAAGGATGCTATGAAGGCTTGAGGGGAGATGTGGCTTCCAAAGAAGATTCTCATGGTAAGAAAAACAGCTTCAGTGTGTGCTTTTGTGATTTGATGTCACGGGCACACATGCCAAACCTGAGAGCACTTCAGTCCTCTTGAGGGGTCTCACTGAAAAAAGTTAGAGTCTCATTTTAAAGACTAACAGCAAAGGGTGCCATGAGAAGTAGCTGAGCATCAAGATCCCTGTTGCGGCTGTTTGAGCAGAGTTCCCCTACCTCCTGGCCTCCAAGAGCTAACAGTTGGTGGAGAGTAAATGAGGTTCTGAAATATTTGGAAAGAAAGAATTGTAAGTGGACAGTCCACTGCGTGGGGGAACAGGCAGATTCCACACAACCTGGGGACACTTGAAGCATTTGATGGAGCTCTCTTGCTGGAAAACACTCCTAAGTTCTTTCTCGCGCTCATTCTTGTTTGACGGTAGAACTTTCTTACTCAATTTCCCCTTGGCTCTCATGGCAGCCCCAATCTACCCCTTGGATCATGCTTTCCTTTGCCATCCAGAGATCCATGTAATCAAACGTGGAGTTTCGCAGCTAGCTCAACCCTCAGGATGGCCCCGGGGTTGTTGGCTATTTAGAATAAAAGGAAATGTTTCTCTTTTGCCGTGTTCCATCCTGGTCTTGTTCTCCCTGTGCATTCTCAGGTACTGTTTGTCTTCCTGTGGGCACGCAGCAGTGCTGTTGGTCCCAAACACTCTAGAGGCAGGTGGTCTACCTGGGAGACTGAGGCCTGGTCTGCAGACCTAGGCAAAGCACGCTTCCTGGGGACTGTGATGCTTGTCCCTTGCTTGGTCTTATCCATTTTGGATACATGGAAACTTGTGATATTTTCCGGGCATATATCCAGTGACCTCTTAATAATTGTTACTTACAGCAAGGCTAAGATTAACTGGCTTGCTAAGATCAAAGCCAGGAAGCAAGCGACCTTTCCTCTGTGAGTTACTTTCTTAAATAACGAGCATTTCACATTGGCTTATTTTAGATAAAAGTGGGAATTGGTGAAGGCTTAGGGACCATGGGTTACTCTGTGTCAGTACTAGAGAATTTTAACTTGCAGATCACAGATCTATCTCCTTTCACCAACAAGTGGCAGTGCCCCTGCCTGTGGCCTTCTGGGGCAGCCTGCAGTAGCGCAGCGTTAACACTAGATGGCGAACGTTCAGTGTCGCAAGACACCATCCCAGACCAAGAAGGGGCAAGCTGGCGTGGGCACCATGCTTTCTACAGGGTGGTCCAGAAAACTGCAGAGGCAGAGTGCAGCCTTTTGTTCCTCTTGTGAAAATGCTTCCCAGGGCAGTGCACAGGGCAGTGTGCTTCGAAGAACTTCCCTGTAGAGCCTGACCCACCAACATTGGTTTGCTATGGCAAAATCTCTCTTTTATGAAAACACAAATAAGTGTTTCTGTCAGGCATAAACTCGTTCTTTGAGCTCTGTTCAAAAAGATATGGAACCTGGGTCAGACCCACAGAGCCCATATCCCTACTGGAGGCCACAGGAGGCCAGCTTCTGCAGATGTCAGTCACTGAAACCAATCATGACAGAGCAAACGAGGTAATCATCGTTTGAGATGAAGCTGCCTTTTTTCCTTCATAACCGTCTTTTCTTCCTAAATAATTAAAGCTGTTAAGTCATAGTGTGTCGAATGAGTGATGTCATTTAGTCTAGCGTGGCAGTTTCCTGCATAGTAATTCTAATTTATTATGTCCCTAAATAAGCAGGAGCCAAAGACAGAAGGCCAGGGCTTGACTTTGAGGCACTTCCAGGCCAGTCGAGGAAGTCAGACAAGGGCACATATAAATAAAACTAGCCACACAGGCGGGCTCTATTTTCACTAGGGCATGCCGGTAGAAGGTATTTTTGAATTGTCCATGACACTTATGCATCTTTCTGGATCATATGGGCTTATTATAGATATGTGGGACACACAGAGGACAAGGAGAAGATGAAGCTTGCCGTAGTCCCTACCCAAAGAGGACCACTACATTTGCTTGTGCCTCCCAACCCACCACACACCAATTGTTATTTCCTCCTAACCCAAAGAAATATGCTCATTTCTCCATACCAGCAGCCCTGGACAAGCCATCTGCCCCATAATAGCATCTTATTATTGATGAAATACCTGTAGTCTCACCTCCTGATCTGTTTGTTTTACAGCCTCAAGCAGCCTGCCACCCGGCTGTGTTCAGAATTGTCGATGAGATGTTCAGGTAAATATTATGCTGTTTCTGCTAGCAGTTGGTCTAAAAATGCTCAGCTTCCAAGCACGAATGAAAAATCTGAGTTGTCAGGCTATACCACGGGAAACGTGAGTTTCTGACTCCATATCTGGCTAGGCTTTTTGGTAATTAAAAGTAAAATCAAAAGTCAATGTATATTTAAAAGCCTATTTCAAAGAATTAAGATAACTTTCTTTTTTGTGATCGTTTTAAATTCTAAAAGCAGAATCAAACTGGATGTTAGGATCATGAAATGTCCATGTGGGCTCTTTCTCAGCTTGAATGAAGAGGTGCAGTTCCCTACCTCACCACACGAGGGCCGCTGTGCTTTGTAAAAGGCTTTCAGCCAGGAGCAGCGGAGAGGCACAAATCAAGCCGTTCTTAACAGAACTCCTCTGAAAGGCAGAGCAAGCCATGCGTGTTATCTTCTAACTAGCTCATGACTTTTTATTTTAAAATGTGAGTCCTCTGGGAGGGGCATTGGATTTAGAGGGCTAGGGGTGAGGGTCGCAGCATACTGGGTTATGGCTCGCAGTCTGGGGGATTAGCCACAGAATCCTGAGACCAGGCCCCCTTTGAGGGACTTGTCACCCAGAGTGTTTCCAGCCTCTGGCAGATGCTGGGCAGCAGGGTGCAGACCCTCCCACGCCCTCACACACAGGGGTGATTCTGGGGAAAGGGAGTTTACAACAAATAACTTGCCACTGAGTCGTCTTGAAACATGCCAACTCTCGGCTAAATGGCCCTGAAGTAAGATGGCAAGGTTCTGTCTTAGCGTAAAGCAAGCCAGGCTGCAGGGTTTTGGTTTGGCTTGGTTTGTTTTTTTTGTTTTTGTTATTTTTTTGCTTAAACAAGCAAAAAGCTAATTGTATGGAAATGCATGGAAACAAATCAGGTATACGGAGATTTTTCCAGCCGCTTTGCTGGGGGACTTGACTGAGCCATTTGGCCCTTTGGGGCAGCTCTGTTGCTGCTTATGAAAGCAAAATGTCTGCTGATGTCGCATGTTGGGCCAGTGGTGCACAGATGTCTGCAGGAACACACAGTCTCCGCGAGCGCCACGCAGTGTTAATAATGCACGAACCAAGAACGAGTTCATGCCTTTGTAAAGAAAGTACTTAGAAAGGGAGCGACAGGTCTCTCCTGCCTCCAAGCAGGGACTGCAGTCTGATGGCGGCTGCTGAGGCTCAGCCCAGCACGGCCCCTGCTTGCCTTGACCGCAGTCGGGGCACAGGTTTGCCATGTTACTCAGGCGTTGATCCTGTCTCGTTGTGCAGGTGTGCACTCCTGGAGACGGATGGAGCCCCGGAAGTCCTGGCTGCTCTTCAGGTGTTTACACGGTGCTTCCTGGAAGCTCGGGACAAGGAAAACAAGCAGGTTCCTTACGCTCTGTGTGTCACTCGCTTCGCCCCAGAGGAAAAGGCTGTTCACCTGAAAAGAACACTTTTATTTTATTTATTTATTTTTTATTATTAGTTGTTCAAAACATTACAAAGCTCTTGACATATCATTTTTCATACATTTGATTCAAGTGGATTATGAACTCCCATTTTTACCCCTTATACATATTGCAGAATCACATCGGTTACACATCCACATTTTACATACTGCCATACTAGTGTCTGTTGTATTCTGCTGCCCTTCCTATCCTCTACTATCCCCCCCTCCCCTCCCATCTTCTCTCTCTACCCCATCTACTGTAATTCATTTCTCTCTCTCGTTTTTTTTCCCTTTCCCCTCACTTCCTCTTATATGTAATTTTGCATAACGATGAGGGTCTCCTTCCATTTCCATGCAATTCCCCTTCTCTCTCCCTTCCCCCCCTTCTCGTCCCTGTTTAATGGTAATCTTCTCATGCTCTTCCTCCCTGCTCTGTTCTTAGTTGCTCTCCTTATATCAAAGATGACATTTGGCATTTGTTTTTTAGGGATTGGCTAGCTTCACTTAGCATAATCTGCTCTAGTGCCATCCATTTCCCTGCAAATGCCATGATTTTGTCATTTTTTAGTGCTGAGTAGTACTTCATTGTGTATACATGCCACATTTTTTTTTATCCATTCATCTATTGAAGGGCATCTAGGTTGGTTCCACAGTCTAGCTATTGTGAACTGTGCTGCTATGAACATGGTTGTAGCAGTGTCCCTATAGTACTCTCTTTTAAGGTCTTTAGGGAACTTATTTGTTCGTTTGTTGGTTGTGGTGGGGGGTGCCAAACCCCAGCCCCTGTACGTGCTAAACACCTACTGCCACTGAGCTGTTTGCGACAGTTTTTTGGTCAGTGATGGTACTGGGGCCTTTGTCACTGAGCTTTGTCCCCACCCCTTTTTATTTTTATTTTACTTGGACCCAGGGTCTCACTAAGTTACCCTGGGCGGGGGGCGGGGGTGGTGTCTGCCCTAAATTGCCTTGAATTTGATCCTCGTGCCTCAGCCTCCTGAGTCGTGGGAATTACAGGCATGGCCACCACACCTGGCTATTTTTAGTAATTCAAATGGACTTTTGCTCATGAAGAAAGTGTCCAAATAAATGCCCCAGCAAAGGTGAAACCGTTTTAACTGAAAATAAGTCAGGACACTTTCCTGCCTGGTACCTGGTGCTGTGTTAGAGCTGATGCACCAGCAGGTGGACCTCAAGGAAGACCCCAGGCCGGGTTTACACTTTGTCCCTCTGGCTGGATGAACCCTCAGCCAGGGAGAGTCCTCCTGCAGCCCAGCTGGGCAGGGCCAGGTAGGAAGGACCACTTCTCACCAGAGCAGCCCTGGACATTGTTCATGCGGGTGTCCATCCTGTCAGAGGCAGGGGTGGGGTGAAGGGGGCAGGCGAAGACGCCAATGACAGTGCAAAGAACGGCAGTGACCAGGAGGTGCTATCTGTTGGCTGGAGGACCCGAGGGCCCCCCAGCAGAGGTGACAGCTACCAAGGTCACTGCCCAGGAGAGAACTGTGTGGAGCGGGGGCTTTTCCCCCAGAGAGCTCTCACTGCGGGCGTCATGAGGGGCCTGTGTCTCATGGCACAGATTTGGCATGTGTGTGTGGCTCTTTGCTGCTCAGAGTGGCACTGGCTGCCTCCCCAGGAAGGACGGCAGGTCCCCTCTGTGCTGTCTGCAGTTGATCTGTAGGGCACAGCTGGGATGCTCGGCCCTGGGGTCCCCCTACTCCCCTAGCCGAAGAAGCCGCTCAGGTCATAGCAGATGTCCCTACTTTCTAAGGCAACAATAAGCATTTATGGTTGACTTTCCCCGTCCTCCGTTTCCTTGGGGCCGTCAGCTAGACTGCAGCAAACGGGGATCTCAGTGGTGCTGACCCTGGAATTTGGGAGCAGAGCTCCACGGAGGGCACTGGCTTTCACAGCCGTTCTGAGTTGTCGCCGTAGGGATCATTCCTCGTTCTCCTGCACACTCTTTATATTCCCAGTTAGGACCTGACCTCCAGCGAGCTGGCCCGTGGCATCCTGGGACCCCAGGTCGGGGCAGAGGACCCTGCCAGAGCAGTTGTGCTCTTCAGCCATAGCCCCCTCCCCTGTTCCCGGGCCTCTGGCCTTGGGCGCTGTGCCTCTGGACTGGAGTTGTAGTTGCTTTTAATTCAGAACAGTGTCCCCGCCAGGCCACGGGGTCTAGGGGCTTGGGGGCCACTCACTGGGCCCCAGCGTGAGGTGGGCAGAGACAGAGCTGTTAGCCACCAGAAGAAGAAGAAAATAGATGGCACCAAAGATGGACCTAAACCCAAACATTCCAAAAGCACATTAACTTCAAAAAGTAGGGCTGGGTTGTGGCTCAGCGGTAGAGCTCTCACCTAGCATGTGCCAGGCCCTGGGTGCCATCCTAGGCACCACATAAAAATAGACAAATAAATGAATAAAGGACTATGTCCCACTACAGCTAAAAAAATAAATAAATATTTTTTAAAAAACTTCAAGAAGTAAATGAATTAACTAAGTATTCTAATACAAAGGCAGATATGTCAGATTAAATTTAAAAAAAAAACATCAACAAATGACCAGCTGTGTGCTGTTTTCCACTTACCCATCCTGAGTATGAAGACCAGGGTGGGTCGGAAGGAAAGGGAGGGAAAGAGATGTGTCATGCAAAGAGGAGGCCACGTCAGCACAGATGGAGGCCAGACCAGGGGTCCACCAAGAAGGAGGGACATTTCCTGAGGATGGAGCAGTCGGTTCATCAGCAGAAATACCAACCATAAATGCCTAGTAACCCGTCCAAAATGCATAAAGCAAAAACTAACCAAAGTAAAGGAAGAAAGAGAGAAACTCATAGTCACACATAAAATCCTTGTGAATGTATTAAACAGAGACGCACGGCCCCCAACCAAGCACTGCTGAGGAAACCAAAGCCGACTCGGACGCCAGGGGAGAGCAGATCAGAGCTGTTGGTGCCCCTTCTCCCTGGGCTGACCGGTGCCTTCAGCGAGTCCCAGTCCACCTCAGCAGCTTGTGAAATGGAAGTGAACAAGCTGAATCCCAAGTCACATGGGAGTGCAAAGGACCTGCAGGGGTCGGGAAGTTTTGCAAAACAAAATCAGAAGATCCACCGGCCAATTTCAAGACTGAAAGCTACAGTCATCGAGACTGCGAGTTACTGGCAAAAGGACAGACAGATTTCAACAGAGCCCAGACAGACCCACACACACCTGTGTGCTTAGTTGATTTGTGACAGGGCCGCTCAGTGGGGAAAGAAACGTTATTAACAATCGGTGTGAATAGCTGGATGCCCACTCGTGGGGTAAGCCAGACTTCTTAGAAGGAACGAAAAACAGAAGCAGTGACCATAGGAGGAGAGTGGCCTGGTCACACTACGTCAGGATCGAAGCACCTGTCCTTTGGGCAGAGAGCACTGAAGAGCGTGAACAGCAGGTCCAGCGGGAAGGAGGCGTCCTCTCCGGCAGGACTGGCCAGCAATGTGAGGCGTTCTCTCAGCTTCCTTAGAGGCAGCCCGATTAAAAATGGACCAAAGGCTTAAAGATACATAAATTGGTGGTGAATATATGAAAACTGTTTGGTGTCATTGGCCACCGGGAAAAGCATGCACGAGCTGATGTCTTCTGACACTAGAAAGGGCAGAATCAATCAGCATCTAGAACATCCACACGTCCCTGGGGGAGTGAACTGGCACCGCTGGCCCAGTGAGCCTCTCCTGCTGTCCTTGCCCAACAGTGGGAACAGCTGTCCACAAAGACAGGGACACGAATGTCAACTGCAGCTTTGTCCATAATGGCTCCAGTTGGGAACAACCCTGATGACTGTCAGCAGAACAGTGTGGGTGGACTGTGGCATGTCCCCGTGGTGACTGATTCTGAGCAACCAACAAAGAATGAACAACTCATGTGCAATTACATGGGTGGACCTTAAAAAAACACGCTGGGCCCAAACAGCCAGAAGTGAAGGAGTGGATGTGCTGGGGTTCTGTTTATGTGGAACTCGAGAACAAGCAAGGCTAATCCCTTGTTGAAATCCAAACATTAGCCTCCTGGGTGGGGTTCTGGGCACCTAGCGGGGGTGTGTCGGTTGGGTGCTGGTGATATGCTCTCACATGTCTGCCAGACCCCCACGCCGGGCTCACTGCCTGTGCATCTTGGGCTGGCTGGGCTCTGCCTCCGTGGGAAACAGCTGCTGTGCCTTTGGGGTGGGTGCTCCAGCCTCTGGCCTGCAGAGCCTGTGAGCACCGCCATTGTTATTGTTTAAACACCAGGTGGGAATACCAGCTGATCTTACTGCAACGGAAGGTTGTGCAGTTTTTTTGGTAGCAGGAATTGAACCAGGGGTGCTTAACCATTGAGCCACATCGCCAGCCCTTTTTTATATTTATTTAGAAACAGGGTCTCACAGAGTTGCTTTAGGGCCTTGCTAAATTGCTGAAGCTGGCTTTGAACTTGAATCCTCCTGCCTCAGCCTCCTGACCCACTGGGATTACAGGCGTGAGCCACCAAGCCCGGCTGAAATGGGAGAGCTACATGTGTAATTGGGTTTGTGTCGGGTAAAGAGCCAGATAAGACATGGAGAGCATAACTTCATTTTTCTTAAGTCCCAAAAGGTGAGTTTAAGAGGTTTGTTACTCTGGATAATATTTATAAGGTTATTGGAAGCATATTTCCTTTATCAGAGTTTAAGAGACTGTCTGCCCATGTCAGTACAGCGGGTCTCGGGGGCAGCGCAGGAGGGCTGTCTTCCTCACGCCCTGAGTCTGACGAGTGTGCTCTTCTTACATGTGATCCCGTTGCAGCTGAGGTTTGCGTTCAAGGCCTACTTTCCTCACGCCCCTGCGTCTCTTGCCACAGTGCTGTCGCAACTTCCCGAAGGTGAGTCCAGACCAGAGTAACTTCTGGGAAGACCTTTGGCCAGCAGTGACCCTTCCCGCTCAATCCCTTATCTGTCCACAGAGATGGCCTTGTGTCCAAGATCCCTTAAGATCCCTTAAGCTCCCCGGGCCTCACCCTCTGGGGATTTTGAGAGGATTTTGACATGAGAATCTGCTTCGTTTCCTGGTTATAATCACGGACCAAAAGAAGGGGAAAGGAGAAGGGAGAGTGGCTCTGGCTCTTCTGTGAGGGTCTGGTCCAGTACCAGGCCCCGCGGTGCCAGGCGCAGGCTGAGGCGCGGCTGAGTCAGAGGAAACAGCTCGTGTGTTTTCCATTCTCTCCACCCCGCGGCCTGTTGCTGAGGAGCAGGGAAGGTGGAGGGCGAGGCCGGGAAAACCCAGGGGAATCTCACCTCACCAAGGGGGTGGAGGGTTGGAGCACTGGTGCCACGCTGACATCAGACCACAGCCACCGCCCTTCCTTCTCAGCCACCGCCTCCATGGGACATGTGAGCTCATGTTCAGGGAGCGCTGCAAACACTGGGGTGCAGGGAGGGTGGCAGCGCTGGGGCCACCACCGGTCCCTCGGCTTCCTTTCTCCCAGACTCTAGTGGGACCTGTGTGGAGGGGCTGGGTCGTGGTCCAGTGCAGGAGGGCTCGCCTGGCCGTGCCGTCCTCAGCACCACAGGGAAGAGGACCCCTGGAGGAAGGCGGAGGTTCCGCTTCAGAGCGTTTTACAAAACCAGAATTCCTCCTCCTTTTTTAGGAGATGAAGGCTCTGGCCCAAGGTGACCCGTCTGGCGCTGTCCTCAGATGCTGGGGGTGGCCCCAGTGGGATCTCTGGGTGATCATAGTCCCTGTCCTAGACGTCTGCCCCACATAGACGAGTGACTTCAAGCCGAAGTCCAGAAGCTCTGTTGCTCTCGGGGACATGTCCTTTCCCAGCACTGGTGCGCTTGAGCACTGGAGCGGCGTTGGGATTGTCCACTGCGAGGTCCCCGGGGCACAAAAGAGGGTCACTGCTGGGCCCTAGCTAGCAGCCATGAGAGAGGGAAGTAAAATAAGTAACTAAACCACTAAAAAAACCATGGAAATGAAAAACACCCAGAAGCTGTGAGCTGAAGGTCGGGGAGCTCCGCGAGTCGAGGCGGTGCCCTGTGCCCTGGCGCCCTGGAGATGCCCTCAGTACTCCCATAGCTGTCCTCACTGTTCTGTCACCCCCGTCACGCGACCTTGATGGGAGCTGTGAGCACACGCATGCTGGCACACCATAGAGCCACAGGAGGCCAGGAGAGCGTGCGGAAACCTTTGTCCGCACGATGCCCACACGGTTTTCCCTCTTTTCTTTAATGTGAACCAAGGTCGTATTCCAGAGTCTTCACGACCCTAGGTCAGGTGAGCGGTCCATTCCTGTTCCTCATCGGTGGCTTTGGTCCAGTCTCCGTGTACATCGGAACCACGAGTTATAGTGACGGAGCCGAGGTCAGGGGGATGGAAAAGAAAGACCCTGGGCGCGGGCTGCGTGGCCCACGTGACAAGGTGGCTGCTTCTGAACCCTTCACCCACTTCCGTGTAACTGTGTCAGGCGCTTTCACGTTTGTCCCCGCGTAACTTGGACAGATGTTTCCTCCCCAGGCTGAGAAGATCCCGGCTGGGAAAAGCAGGGCTTGGTGCCATGAACCAGGAGAGGAGAGGCCTGTCCTCAGACTGCTCCAGGCTCCCCACAGGTCGCTCCTCCTGGGCTCAGCGCTTCCCGGGTCTCCCTCTGACCTCTTTTCTGCACCCATAGGTCTCCCCCAGGGACGCTGGCTCCAGCGACTGCAGCTCATCTCCCAGCAGCTCAGAGAGGCCGTGGAAAACCAGCCCCAGGGGTGAGCAGCACTGCCCAGGCCCCCTCCCGGCAGGTCCTTCCCTCAGCCCTTCCCCTTGAGCGGGCTGCAGGTCCTTCCCTGGCCCTCATCACACAGGCCAGCACCTGCCTGGCGAGAGGTGGGGGGAAGCCACGCGGGTGGGCAGGGCAGGTCAGGCAGATAGACGGAGCGCAGGTCTGTGACAACCCAACCCAGCCAGTGCCTCTGGGACTGGATGGGCTGCTGTCCTCCAGGGACCAGGACTGAGCGGCCCCTCCTCCTGAGGGCTCAGACACAGTGGCTAGGGAGGCAAGGACAGTGCTTAGAGCTCAGGGAACCCCTGGGCGTGAAGGAACCCGGGCCAGGTCCACTGTGAACTGGCTGCAGAGAAGCCTGGAGCACTCTTGTTCCTGTAGCCAGTGCAGAGGGAAGTGCCCCCACCACCCCTGACCTCAGGCCCGCCCGCCCCATTGTCTGTAGGGCAGGCACTCACCTGCCAAGATGTCTAGAGAAAAGCAGCCTTCACCCTCAGCAACCCCGGGCCCTGTGTGATGGGGAAGCTTGCAAGAAGCGTCAGCCTCCTGGCACCGACACCCCCTGACGACAGGAAGGCAGAGAACACACCGCTCTGCAGACATTCCCCGTTGCTGGAACGTTGATCAGAACCTGGGTCTCCCTGGAAAAGAAGCCGCACGGGTTTCTCCCCATGTCCTACCTCTGCCCCTGTGTCCCAAAGGCTGACTTCCTTCTGGACCCCAGGACCCACTTCCTCTCCTGCTCTGGCCTGCCCGGGCCAGGTCCACTGTGAACTGGCTGCAGAGAAGCCTCCCCGCTGTGGCAGGGAGGCCCACCTCCACAGCAGCCCCTGTGCAGGCCAGGCGCAGGCAGGAGGCGCTTTGCAGGGTCTCATCCTCTGTCGCATCTGCTCTTACCAGCCCAGACTTTCCTTCCTCACAGCTGTGCTCATTTAAGGAACCTGGTGGTAACACAATGTCCAATGTCCTCAGAGCACATGGGGCTTGTTTTTGGTTTGGGTGCTGAGGACTGAACCCAGGGGTGCTTAACCACTGAGCCACATCCCCAGCCCTTTTTTATATTTTATTTAGAGACAGGGTCTCCCTGAGTAGCTTAAAGCCCTCACTGAGTTGCTCATGCTGGCCTTGGACTTTTATCCTCCTGCCTCAGCCTCTCACCAAGCCTGGCACACATGGGGTTTTGAGAGGTGTCCCTTTAGATGCTTTCTGCTGGGTTCAGAGTGGCACTCTGACAGGTTTTGAGGGTAGCTGTGTTCTTTGCAGGTCATTCTAGAGTGAACAGGTACAGTTTAAGCCCGATACAAACATTAAAGCTGCCACGCACGGAGGTGCACACCTATAATCTCCACAACTCAGGAGGCTGAGGCAGGAGGATCACAGGATCCAGGCCAGAAAGGGAAACTTAAGTGAGATCCTGTCTCAAGATAAAAAATAAAAAGTGTGGAACGCCCTGGGTTGAATCCTCAGCCAAAGAGAAAGAAAAAGCAAGACCAGGCCTCCTGGCTCTGTTGCAGATCCCGTGGGGGGCCCCTGCGGAGCTGGTTTCTGCTCGCCCACTTTGGAGGATGGGCTGACGTGGCCGCCGAGCAGTTACTGAGGTCGGACATGGACCCGCCTGCAGCCTTGCTGTGGTTCCTGGCCTTCTACCACGGCCCTCAGGAGGGGGCCCAGCAGAGAGCACGGACCATGGTAGGTGCAGGCCACTCTGCTCAGGCTGGGCTGCAGAGAGGGCTTGCCTTTCCCTGAGTCCCGTCACCCGAGCTCTGGGCTTGTGATGATGTTCCCCTGGGGGACAGGTGAGTGTGGCTGGGCGTGCTGGGGTGCTACAGGGAGGCTGGTCTGCAGCCAGTCCTCTGCCATGGCGGCCTGGCCAGACTGCTCTCTGGAGTCAGTCAGCGAATTCTCACGTTGCGGCTTTGTTTAGACCTCTTTCTAAAGCATTCGCATGATACGAACCACTTTGCTTCCGAAGGACCGTGGTCATTTCCTGAATGACAGAGCAGCTAAGTCCAGGACTGGCAGCAGTAGTGGACACAGTCGCTGCTCTCTGAAACACAGTGATCGCAGGAAGCCAGGTCTGTGGAAGGTTGGCACCTCCCTGCCAGTGTGTCTGTGGGCTTGCAGACCGCCAGCTGCCAGTGCGTTTTGCTGATTTTAATAATTAAAGGGAAGGGGCTTAATTATGTATGGAACAGTGCTCGTTTGCCCTGTATATTCTGCTGTTTGAAAGAAACAGACCAGTACAGCCGTCTGTACGTTGTATCCGTTTAAAGACTTGCATTTTAAAGAAATCACCATAATCTACATATGTATTTGAGGATAGCTATCTGATTAAAAAGAAAACCTTCTATTTCTTCCCTTTTGAAGATCACATTAAGCCAATTAAGGGAAATCCTAGTTTATGTTTCTCATCATCTTATTTTTTATAGTAATAATTAAGACGTATGAAGCACTCATGATTTCTAAAGCCCTTTAGTATGCATTTCATATTTGGCTCTTTGTGAACTAAGTTGGTAGGTATGTGTGGTTAAATTCCTTAGGGACCATAGATACTGACAAAGAGAGATTCACTTTTCAAGGACAGAGACAGAAGTTTTCCAGTAAGATTTAATTTCTAGAAAGTTCTACATTGGCACGTGTTTCCACTAGTTAACTTGGTTTGGGAGGTTTTGATGTTTCTTTAAATAAAACTTGTACATATTCCTTTTAAAAAAAATTGTACGTATAGATGGACAGCATGCCTTTATTTTTTTGTTTATTTTATGTGGAGCTGAGGATGGAACCCAGTGCCTCACACGTGCTAGGCGGGCACTCTACCCTGTGCCACAGCCCAGCCCTGGGCATACGTGGGTATTGTTAGTCCTCTGGCATAAAAGCAGATTGACTCCTTGAGAATAGGCGGTGCCCACTGCGTCCTGGATGCTCCATCCTGCTGACACCAGGGCCTCCGTTGGCAGTGCTGGCCCCTGCCTCCGGGAGCCTGGCCCGAGGCTGGCGTGTGTGACACCCGGGAAGGAGAGGGAGTTTTTCTGGGTGACCCAAAAACACAGACCTCTCGCACCTGGGCTTTGCGAGCTTTGAGCCCCTAATGGTCCACCACGTGCCTGGAGAAGCAAGGCCTAAGTTGCGTGGCCAGGTCAAGCCTGGCAGCACCTGTGCTCTGCGGCTGTCCCCAAGGCGTGGAGCGCAGAGTGGGGCATGGTGCCTGCCTGAGGGCCTGCCCCTCCCTGGCAGGCCACCTTCTCTGCCATTCGGTGTTCATCTCCTCTGCTGATGGAAGCAGATCATGACAACACCCCATGCATGGGGCGTCCAGATGCCCAAGGCTCAGGCCAGTCTCCTCCCAGTGGCCCTGCTGCTCCCAAGGAGTCACCCTAAGGGAATGGTTACATACAGCTCCGTGTACAGGAATGTCCTTCACAGCATCGTCTGTAATCACAAACACCGGGAAGGCTAGGCCTTCAGTAGGATGGCTGCCATCTGAACGAATCCTAATGTGTCCTAACCACGGGTGGCCTCTTAGCAGGAGAAACGGTGCACTCAGACAGCATGTTCTGTGGGCACCGTGAACGGCTGGCTCCCAGGGCCCTATGTCCAGTGGGTGGTGTGTCCCCATGCACAGGCGACATAAACCTACTCAGGAACAGTGACTCTCTGGATGGGAGAGTTATAGGTGATTTTATTTATTTATTTTCCTTTTTTCTTTTCAAATTTTCCATAGCATATAAGTTTTTATAACATAGACTAAGAAATAATATTTTAAGAGGAAAATAAAACTTGTATCTTTCTCCTGAAAAACTTAGACAGCATTTGAAGTATTAGCAGGTTGTATAGAAGCTTCTGGACACGAACGCATTGAAGGGCCAGTCAGTCTGGGCAGAAGGGGCCGCGGGCACAATGGGCGCCGGCAGAAAGTCAGAGGCAGCCCAAAGAGAGCAGAGCAGGTGTGAGCCGGCCTCCTGAGCCTGCGGCCCCAGGGGGTGGCAGGCAGTCAGGGGCAGGGCGTGCCACCGCCCAGGGTGGGTGCGTGTGGGTCAGTGTGTCCTGTGGGGAGAGGCCTGCGGGGCCTTTCCCACGGCCTGGCTTGTGGTTGGTGGCGCTGACTCAGCACCACAGTGTGCTGCAGCCTGTGGCCAGCGGCATCCAGGCCTGGCTTCCAGGGAGAGCTGCCCGCGCCCTGCCCTAGATCTGGCCCTGCCCTAGAACTGGCCGTGGGAATGCAGGGGACAGGCCCAGCGCTCTTTCAGAAGCCTGGGGTCTGGCTGTTGGGAGTGTACATGGCATTTCCCATCACGACTCTGAGTCCTTGCATTGTTTCCAAGTCACAGCCTGATGTGCCTTCTCTAGCAAGCAGAGTCTCAGCATGAAATGAGCATTTCTTATGCAAAAACAACCCCCAGACTTAGAACAGTTACCATCATTATGTGGCTTGCACAGACTCTGACCTCTGCCCGAGCCTTAAAGGCATACAGACAGCCTGTCCCAGTGTCCTGGACAAGACAGTTGTGCCATGAGAGTGTGTGTGTGTGTGTGTGATTGTGCAACTGTATATGAGTATTTTAGTATATTAGTGTGTGCGCGCGTATGTATGTGTGTATGTAGTTTTGTGTATGTGTGTTTGAGTATGAGTGTGTATGTGTGTGTGACTATTGTGTGACTGTGTATGAGTCTATGTATGTGAATAACAGTGTGTGTGGCTATGTGTGTGTAACTGTGTGACTGGATGGCTGTATATAAGTGTGTGTGTGTGACTGTATGACTGTGTGGCTGTGTGTGAGTGTGTAATTGTGTGAGTGTGACTGGATGCCTGTATGTAAGTGTGTGTGTGTGACTGGATGACTGTGTGTGGCTGTGTGTGTGTGTAACTGTGGGAGTATGTATGGCTGTGTGTGTGAGTGTGTGGCTGGGTGTGTGACTGACAGTGTGTGTGGCTGTGTGTGTGTAACTGGGAGTGTGTGACTGGATGACTGTGTGTGGCTGTGTGTGTGTGTGGCTATGTGAGTGTGACTGTATCACAGTGCGGGTGGGTGTGTGCATGTGTCACCAAGGCAGTGGTGGCAGTACCCGCATTGGGCTCTTGGCGCCCTGGCTGTCCCTGTCCCCACTGTGCGGAGCCCCTTGCTGCATTCTGCTGAGGACTTTTTCCCATTTCCTTTCCTACAACAGAAGGCTGACCCGGGTGGTGCATGGCTGCTCGGTGAGCAAGCTGAGGCCCAGCCTTTCCTGTGTGTGTGGCCCTGGCCGCAGGGCTCTGCCTGCCTCCTTTGGACACCGGTGGCTCCTTCCTGGGGCCTGCTGCAGAGCACCCAGTGCACTCTAGAAGCCTGTGGGTGCTGCTGCTCTGACCCGACCCTGCCCTCGCCCTGCAGGTGCAGGCTGAGGCCGTGCTCCGCCGCCTCCGTGAGCTGTCGGGAAGCGCCTGCCTCTCGGCCAGGGATCTGCAGGCTTTGGGGGAGAGCAGCCCGGGGGACCCCAGATCGCCTGCGTGCACCCAGCTCATCAGGCAGCTCCTCCTCACCTTCCTGCTCTGGGCTCCCAGAGGCCACACCGTCGTCCGGGAAGCCACGGCCTTTGTAAGTCCCTGCTTTCCTGAACCTCCAGGTGGAAGGGTCTTCCTGAGGGTCCCAGGCCTTAGAGTGTGGGGATGAAGGGTCAGTGGGGTGGCCGCTGGGAGGGGCCCTGGCCTGCCGGTGCAGCACCCTCCGCCACAGAAGACCGGCTCAGAGGGAGGAGGTGCGTCTCGCAGGCCACACGGCGAGGTCTCCCCACGGGCTGGTCCCATTGAGTGGCCGCTCACGCTGCAGGTCAAAGAGTGTTGCTTACAAAAAAACTGATTAATTGTGAAGAACTCCTTCCCAAAGCCCAGGTGACAGGAGGAGGAGGGGGTGTGGGCCAGACAGGGATTTGGCAGGGATGTCTTCACTGTGACACAAAGACACAGGCACCTACAGGAAGCAGGCCAGTTGGACTCCTGGACATTGAAACTGTTGGGCATCAAAGGATACGACCAAGACACTACAGAGACAGTTCTCAGAATGGGAGAAAATGTTCTAAAGTCCTGTATCTGCCAAGGGTTTGGTATCCAGAATGTGGAAGGAATCCTCAACTCAACAACAACAATATCAAATTCGAAATCGGGGAAGCACTCGACTAGGCACCGCTGTAAGGATGTGCAGATGGCCAGGACTGGGCAGATGTCAGCAGCACGGCCACGAGGGAAGCACACACCGAATCCACAGTGAGGCCCACCGCCCTCCTCATGACGGCCGGTAAAAGAATAAAGAAAGTGAACGCTGAGGCTGCGGAGACGGGGAGGCTGCAGTGGCCCAGCCCCTGTGGAAAGGCCAAACGGGACTCCCCAGGATGGAGCACTTCTACTCTTACACACATTCCCCCAAGAACGGAAAGCAGGAGCTTGGACAGAGCTGCACAGCACATTCACGAGAGCCGGAAGGCGGCAGCAGACAAAAGGTCGAACCAACTGAGGCTCTTGTATGTGGTGGAATATTATTTGGCCTGAAAAAGGGAGTCCTGGTGCATGGCTGTAACACGGATGGACCTTGAAGGTCTCATGCTAAGGAAATAGGCCAGGCACAGGAGAATGCCGTGGGGCCCCACGGCCTGAGGTGCCCAAGTTCATGGAGACAGAATAGAATAGTGGGTGCCAGGGTCCGGGGAGGGCGTGGTGAAGAGTTTCTGTTTGGATGATGGAAGGTCCTGGAGGCGGCGACTGCGCTGGCTGTGCATTGTGAGCGTGTTCCACACCACAGTCGTCGCAGCCACGCGTGTTCACTGTGATTTCATAAAGCACTCAAAGGGGGCGCTGGGGTGCAGCTCAGTGGTGGAGTGCCCGCCCTCGCCGCTGGTGCTGCAGAACACTGTCCAGGGCCCAGCTCTCTCCAGGCAGGCTCTGGTGACGTGGCTGTGAATCCACTGGTGGGTTCCGTGGCCCCTGTTGAGAGCCCTGGGAGACCTCCAGGAGACCCTCCTCCCCGCAGGTGGTGCTGTGCAGCAGGCCCAGGGCCAGCCGCCTCTGTGCTCCCGTGTGCCTAAGAGCACAGAGCCCTGGCCCTCGTGGCCACCAAGCACAGGGACACTTGGGAGATTACGCTGTGCTTTCACAGAATGCATCTGCGACGGCACAGAGGCACCTGGACGGCACGGCACCCATGGGGAAGCCAGGCGTGATTTCAGCGACGGGTGGACTCTAAAAGTCACGCTGCAAACAGAGCAGGGGCGGGTCCCAGGAGTGGGTGGGGGCAGGTGCTGCCTGGCGGTGGAGACATGAGCCGGTTCTGACCTGAGAGAGGCTACGCTTGAGAGCGGCTGAGGGAGGGTCTTCCTTGTCCTCGCCACGCACACGTGCACACGCGCACACACGCACGGGAACCTCGAGGCTGTGGGCGTGCAGCTAGCACCAGGCTGCAGTGATCACGTGGACACAGCAAGACGCCACAGGTTCTCCTCGAGGGAAACAGCAATGAAAAATAGAACAGGACTCAGAAGAAAAAGAGCTGTTTTCGCCGCTGTGACCCAAAGACCTGACAAGGACAATTAGAGGAGGAAAGGTCTGTCTTAGGGGCTCGTAACCCATCACCTCACCTCTCAGCTGTCTCGCATCGGCTTAGTGCGCTTTCCAGGGACGCCTCACATCCAAACCTCAGCTTCCGAGCCCCCTGGGCTGGGAGACCCCATGCTTGAGAGCTGAGATGTGCACGTCACTGGGTGTCCACAGCCAGCTTCGCCTCCGCCGGGGGTGAGTTGAAGCCGCTGCTTTTCAGCCGTGTGATCCAAGGGCATGTCACACAGGTGCACAGGGGTCAGTCAGGCTGGCGCAGAGCACCTGGATACTCCAGATGGCGCTTGCTCCTACCTGTGACCCAGGTATAATAAGGGAAAGTGTCAGGCAAGCCCCAAGCCCGTCTGGGGGCAGCTGACACAATCCCTCCAGTGCAGCCATCGAGGCCGTCAAAACCAGAAACATCTGGGAGAATGTCACAGCCAAGAAGAGCAAAGGACATGTGACACTAAGAGTGATAGGTATCCCTGGTGGGGCTCTGGGATGGCAGAGGAGAACCATGGGGCCGAGGACTGGCTGTGACAGGCGCCCTTGCAGGCTGCTGGCAGGAGGGGACGGTGGAGGATCGGGACTCCACCCCTCTTCGCAGTCACTCATGATTCCTCCTCTCCTGGGGGAGTCCGCAGCCCCGGGTGGAGCGCTGGTCTGCTGGGAGCCAGAGCCCCCCTCTGAGAGGAGACCTGCTTTCCCTTGGCGTGGACGGGACAGCAGGGTTGGAGGACGGGAGGGGAGTCTGCCTGGAGGCCTTTTAACTTTCTTCTCCCCCCCGTTGCAGATGGCCCCCACCCATGACGTCACCCAGGAGGTTATTGGCTTTCTGGACCAGACCTTGTACAGATGGGACCAGCTGGACACGGGAGCCTCTGGGCCAGGAGCACTGGCCAGGGCACTCCTTCAAGAGCTGCGAGCGCAAGTCTAGCGGGGACGCAGGCCCTGAGGCGCCGTGGGCCGGGTGCCATCTGCCGAGGCTGGGCCCCGTCTGTGGAGCGCTCTCTTGAGCTTAGAGACTGAGCCATCGCCATCTCGGGATGGTCGGTAGCACGTAGGACAAAATGAGAAGCCGTGTGCTTGACCATACTTGGCCCCTGTACCCACAAGTGACCCAGAGGCCTGCCCAGCCCAGGACACCATCCAGGGACCTCAGCAGGATGGGCTGTTCCATTTCTGGTCCTTCAAGCGAGATGTGGGACTTTTTTTTTTTTTTTTAATGATTCAAAGTCTTTAGACGAAAATCCAGTCAACTTGGCCTTGGTCTGAAGCTTGGCCTCTTCTCCAAGGTGCTTCCCAGGGCTCAGGCTGCTGTTCCCTGGGACCTGAGAAAGGTCATGGACTCTGGCTCCCTGGCATTCTTCCTCTAGGAGTGGACCCCTCAGGTTTCCCCCAGGGCCCCCTGACCAGCCCAGGGGAAAGCCGCTCACCATGGGGGGTCCCTGGTGCTGAGCAGAGGAGCACATGGCGCAGGGAGCCGGCCTGGCCCAGGGTCTCGGCCCTGGGTCAATGCTGCCTGCCACCAAAGGGCTCCTGCTACTACACAAGGGTCCACAGTGGCCCTGGATGCAACAGGAGAGGGTGACACTGCACCAAAACAAGAATTGGGTCCTAACAGAACCAGCGGCCCTGAGTCAGTGTCCCTCAGTTGAGGACGTGGTTCAGCCTCATTGTGCCTTGCACTGCCCTTGGCTCTGCTGTGGAGGTCTGGAGTGACCCGGGGCCCCCTCTCGCCCTCTGGTTTATGTGATGGACGTCTTTGGGTCTTGCTCCTTTGAGGTGTGAGGTTTTGTGGGGTTGGAAGTTCACCTTTAGGGGAATCACGCTGCTGAATGAGCCAGCCCCAGGCCCTGGGGCCTGGGCCTTTCTGCTGGGGAACGTCTTGGTGTGGACATCAGGGTCACTGTGGTGTAAAGGTTCCTCAGAGTGCACAGTGGCCCTGGAAGGAGGGCTCCCTCCTGTGCTGACTCTGAACCAGAGCCTGGGGACCTGCCCTGGGACCTGGGGTCAGCCCCTGTGGACGTGACGAGAGGCTGGATTTGGTGGCAGCACGTGACCCCAACAGGAGGGGCCCCGGAGGCAGAGCCCCCGTGTGGGTGGGCTCCAGAGGAAAATGCAGAGCGTCCTCCTCACCGCCAAGTCCCCAGTCGCCCTCCCTGCTCCCAAGTTCCCTGCGATCCCACCTGACCCTGTGCCCCGCAGTCTCACAGCAAACAATAAAGCCAGGTGCTTTTCCAGCTCAGGTCCCAGCCACGTTCCTGGAAGGTCTCCTGACTTTTCTGTGCCCTGTTGGTAGAGTCTCCATCCTTGACTCGGTGCCCTGGGCACAAGAGCTGGCACCTTCCTCCTGGTGCCGACCAGCTGTGGTCCAGTGAGCCCCGGCCTGGTGGGGACTCCTGCAGAAAGGCAGGGCTGGTCTTGTGACTGATGCTTCCCCTGTGCCCTTTCCCATGCCCATAAAGGTACCCAGGGGGAGGTGTTCCAAGGTGGGAACAGGGCAGCTAAGGCCACAGCCCCAGGGACGCTGTACAGCCTCGCCCAGCAGCTCCCACATCCATAGGGACCCCAGGCTGCCGGCCACCTGCTCTGCTGCAGAGAGGGAGCAGGTGTCCGGGGCAGCCACTGCTGCTGGCGGGCCACCCCCGGCATGGCAGAGAATCAGGCCCCCGAGGGTTGTCTGGCTGACCCTCCGTCCTCTTCCAGCTGCCTTAGGTTCTAGGGAGGCTGGACGTGGGGTTCTTCTAGTTTTTTCAAAGTGGGGGTGCAGCTAAAGGTGCACTTGGTGAGAACACGCGTCAGGCAGAGGCCGCAGGCGGGTCCCCGGGCCACATGGCGCCAGCCCCAGCCCTGCTGGCAGTGCACCTATCTGTCGGGGGTCTAAGCCCCCACTCGGCGTCCCACTGAGGTGCCTTCAGCAAGGACGACAATGGGGACCCTAGACACGGGCAGCCCAGGGGCTGGTCCTGGTGTGGAACTCGCTGACCTTCTCCAGCGTTTCTCCTGGGGCTGCGAGGAGGAGGCTGTCCCCACGCCTTCCTGACAGCATCCAGCGCCTGCCTGGCCGCCAGCACCCAGAGCCCCCTGCCCGGGGCAGAACCTGCCACAAAGAAGTGGCCACGACTGGGCACGTCTTCATCCCAAACAGGCAGCTTGCACTGAACCTTTGATGCATTGAATGTTTTAATTTGTCCCTTAACCACCCCCTTCCCCCTGACTGTGGAAGCTTCATGTCGCAAAACCCAGCTCTGACCCTGAAAAGACTGACCGTGGTCACCCTCGGGCCAGGAGCGGCCACCGAGAGGGTGCTGTCCTCTCTGGAAGCCATGCGTAGCGTGAGTGGGACCGTCTCATTCACCGTCCTCCCCCCTCCCAGGCCGGCAGGGCTATGGGGCCGTGTGCCCTGCTCCTCTCGGTTCAGACTCGTGTCCTTTGCCCTCCTGCTCCTCGGAGTCAGGACGATGGCCTCGGCCGGCTCCATTCAGGCCTCCACGTGGCAGCCCGTGCTGCTCTGGGTTTGCTGCCACCCAGCAGCCTCGCTCAGCCTTCTGGGTGACCGTGTCCTGGCACAGGAGCTGGGGCCTGGGACCACGGCAAGGAAGCGTCCACGGGTGCAGATGGCCGTGGATGGGACCCAGCTCCGGAGGAGCCTCCTGCCTGAGCACTGGCTGCTGCTCTCTGGGCCTGTGTAGCCCTCGCTGCCCGGGTCTGACTAACTGGCGGCCACAGGTGCTTGGCAGCCTGGTAGCTTTTGGTTGCTGGGACCGAGATTCCCGACGAGGGCAGCCTGGAGGAAAGGCCAGGTGGGCCGGCCAGGCTGCTCGGGCCTGGGCTGAGGCAGAACGTCATGGCCAGGGGCGTGGTGGCGGACGGCTGCGCAGCCTGTGGTCGCCAGAAAGCAGAGTGGGCGTGAGGAGCCAGGGTCACCAGGCACCACCCCCAATGGCCTGCCTCCTCAGCCAGGCCCCTGCCCACTGCCGTGCTGTACTGTCCTCCTGTAAAGCAGGCTTCACCCCGAGCTCCCACACTGACCGTCCTGAGCGTGCTGGGGACACTTCATACCCAAACAACGGGCAGAAGTAAGAGCCAGCCAGGGGCAGGGGGAGGCCAACACTGCTGCTGGGGTGGGGTGCCCGCAGGGAGCTGGAGGGTCCCCGGAGCAGTGGGATCCCTGGGGAGAGCCTGCAGAGGGCAGCCAAGCCCAGGACGGCTGAGATGGCCGCCCTGAGCCCTGGAGGGCAACACTGGGGCTCTGCCCGGGGAGGATGGCGGTGAGGAATGTGCTCCTGATTTGACAAGGAATCCTGCGTCCCAAGGAAGAAGGCACAGATGCCACAGAGCCGCTGTTTGCCTTGCTCTCCTCCCAGCCTGTCACCGTCCCCCTCCACCAGGTGCTGGGAGGGCCCCGTCCTCCCCTGGACCCTGGACCCTAACATGGAGTCGGTGGGTCTGCGTTAAGAATTCTAGGTTATCAACCATCATGAACCGTTTCACAACCGAAGAACCCAAGATAAACTGGGTCAGCTTTGTGTCACTGTGACAGAAGTACCCCCAAGAGCAACCTGGAGGAGGAGGGTCAGTGGGGCTTGGGGTTCCGAGGTTCAGTCCGAGGTTGGCGAACTCCGCTGCTCTGGGCCCCGGCCAGGCGGAGCGCATGGAGGAAGGGTGTGGCCGGAGCTCTGCAGCCAGAGAGCAAGGGGAAGGGGCCACCGGGAGGAGGCCCCCTGCCAGGGCTCCCCCAGGGACTGCCCCAGCTGCCACCCAGTGGGCCACTCAGACGAGGGTGGACGGCCCAGGAGCGCCCCCTGAGCACTCCTGCCGGGCAGCCATCTGCAGGGCCACCTCCTATCGGACGTGGCAGAGCGTGCCAAGTCTTGGCCTCCTAGACTCGGGGCCCAGGTCTGCTTATACCACGGATCCAGGTCACCACCCTCATCAAGAGACTCGCAACGAAGCACCTCACGCGTGGACCCCCTCCCGGGCGGTCACCGTGGCCTATGGTACTTCGCGGTTTGGGAAGGAAACAGATCCGTGAATTTTCTCGCCCCACCGCCCAGAACTGGGGTTGGACCCAGGGTCACCCTCCACTGAGCTGCGCCTCTGGCCCAGGATCCTGCTAAATTACCCGGCTGACCCTGAACTTGGGATCTTCCTGCTTCAGCCTCCAGCCTAGCCGGGACTGTAGCCCTGACTTGAAAATGGTCGTCTGGACTTTTCTGTAGCGGTGGGTGGCCTCCTAAACCAGTGCAGGATACTCCCCGGCCTCTGGTGATGGACAGCAGCCAGGACTCTTGGCTGTAAGCAACAGAAACAGGCACTGGATGGGAGAGGGGGCCAAGATGGCTGGCCAGCGCCACAGCGGGCTGGTGGTGACGCCCTGCAGCCTCCACTGGCCGTCCAGGCTCACGGCCCTGGAATGGGCTCTCTTTGCGCCCACTCCTCTCAGAGCACGACTGTGGGACTCCTGGTGACACTGGGGCCTGCACTGCAGCCGTGAGGGGGGCTGGGCACGCAGGTTTATCCAGCTGCCCCGGTGTCACTCGGTGCCTCTGAAGATGTGGCCCACACTTTGGAAGGCAGATGCCACAGTACCCTTCTAGACTGCCCGTGGCCAGTCCTCAGCCCAGCGGTCCACGACACAAGATCAGGCAGCGGGGCTGGGCAGGAAGCTGCCCGCAGTGTCCATGGCTGTCTCCAGAACATGGCTCCGTTCGCCTCTGAACCCAATGGTCCTGGGCGGCTGTCCTGAGCACTGCAGGACCGTCAACAGGAGCCTGGCCTCCCCTGCCCGGTGCTGGGTGCACCCCTCCCCAACACGGTGACAAGCCAAGCTTTGTCCAGACGTTGCCAAGTCCCCTTCCAGCTGCGGACCACTGCTGTAAGTGGGGGGCTCCTTCCTTTGGAACGACATCCAGGACGTAAACACCAGCTGCTGTGGACAGGACATCAACTCTAACGGATCCTCATGGGAACTGAGCAGTCTGACTCCCAAATGCATGTGAAAAAGCGACCCTCAACATCAGGGCACTGTCCGCACACACCACAGTTCCATGTGGAGGCAGATGACCAGCTCAGAGCCTCGCGGGGACCCCACCACCCTGCGATGGGGACTGGTCTTTGCAGAGGCTTGGCCACGTTCTGTAGTTACCCTTGATTCCCCCCTTCACCCCACATCCAATGGAGGCAGCCCCTGACCCTGACTGTGGCTCACCCACCACTGCGGACCCCCTCGGTCTTGGACGGGACTCCTTCTCGTGCCCAGCAAACACCGAGGAGTGTCACAGGAGTGTGCGAACGTGGCCAGGCACTGCCATCAACAGGGAAAGGATGGTGGACATGACGCTGGGTCTCCACCTCCTAGACCCAGGGCACTGAAGGCACTGGACTTTCTCCACCCAAGGCCTCACTGGAGGCCACTGGGCCTCTGTCTTCTCCAGAGAAGGCTCTTGCGGATCTGCCTGGGGAGAGGAGGGAAGTCCTGGGGTGGCAGCTGCGCTCTGGGCAGGTGGTGTGCTGCCCGGTAAATGCAAACTTGGTTCACAGCTAGGTGGAGCTCCCTGGCCTCTCCCCTAGAGCTCCTGCCACAACCCGCCCTGCTCATTCCTGTCCCGGGCAAGTTCAGCGACTTTCAAAGACTTTCAAGTCCTGCAGGGGCAAGCGCTTCTCTGCACCTCACCTGCAGCTCCCTCCCCTGTCTGGGCCCCAAAGGTTGAAGGGCGCGTCCATGCACCCTGCAAAGCCAGAAGCCACAGGAGAGACGGACACGCTAGCCGAATCCCACACACAGAGGACACCCTGGGGGAGACATCCACAAGGCAAGTCCAGCAGCCAGTTCTAACTTGTGGACCTCTTCTACACATCTAAGGAGGCACTAACCAGAGAGAATCGGGAAGGGACACAAACACTGAGGAGGTGGGTCACAGGAGCTGCCCTGGAGAGGTGTGTCTTCCCTGCAACCCCTTCCCCAAACCCTCTGCTCCCTGGCCATCATGCACATGCAACCCCTCGCCCTCCCACCATGATGCCCAGAGCAACGGAGCTGGCCCCCGTGGACTGAGTCTCTGCAACTGTGAGCCCAAACACACTCCTCGTCTAGGTTGGTCTAGTTGGTATTTTGGTCAATGCAGAGCTAACACAGCTGTCCACGCAGCGTTCCCTGTGTCAGGCATGGCAAGCTGTCTGGAGAGGCGTTCAGGGGCACAGGCCACATGCAGGGACACCCCTTCACACAAGGACTGGACCGTCCTGGGATTTGGGTGTCCTGGAACCAGTGCCCCAGGCACCGAGGGCGGCTGCACTGTGCTCCCTTGGGTGTGTTTCCTGGAGGGTGACTGACGGTACCTTGGCTGGGGACACGGGGATCAGTACCCTCACAGTGGTGGGCTTGGGGAAGGGACCAGGAGACAGGGAGGAAACTTCCTTTATGTCTGTATATTGTTTCTATTTCTTTGCATGTTTGATCTGTAAGAAAAAGAGCTGTGACCGGCACACGGAGGTCCCCGTCTGTCCTGGGCTGGCTGCTGTTGGTGCTCTGGGGAGTGGGTCTGTGTCCCTGGTGCTGCTCCTTGAGTCCCTGCTCCGGGAACGCGTGTTCTAGCACTGGACAGAGAACCTTCTAGGAACGACCTGCTCCGTGGCTGGATCCTCGTGCCCTGGGACTGAGGCTTCGTGGAGGAGCGTATGGGGCCCTGACCCACCACCACTGTGTCCGCCCAGCCTCTGGCGCTGGCCCCTTCCCTGCTCTCCACGTGGGCCTCTGCCTGCAGGTGTGCTGGACCCACCGTCTCTGCAGTCACTAAAACACAAAATCAGGACATACCATTCTTTCCTGAGACTGTCTTTTCTTTACAACTTGACATGAGTGCAGGTGTCCAGCCCACTGACCAACAGTTAAATGGACTCCCTCCTCACCTCCCTTGGCCCCAACTCCCATCTTCTGAAGCGTCCCCCGCAGACCTAACTGCCCTGAGCGTCCCCAGAGACCTGAGTGCTGCAGTCAAGGTGAGGAGCAGGTGTGCCAGCCACGTCCTCAATGCTGCCTCGAGAGGCCCGGTGTCCAGGGGACCTCGTGGATGCACCCTCCCTCTCCCAGAGGCCTGCTCTGCCAGACCCAGTGTGCGGGGGAGGGCTGCCGGGTGGAAGAGGGCCTCTGGAACCCGGGCTCTGGGCCTGGCCACCTCCCCACAGGCAAGAACACCTGCAGGGCTGGCCACGGCCACAGACCCAGTGCCCCGAGGCCCGGCTGAGGACACTACAGGTGAAGGGCATAGAGCAGCTGAAGAAAGCAGAGGCCTGGCTGGGGTGTCCTGAGGACGCCACAGATGAGCTGCCTGAGGGCGGCTCCGTGTCCCTGTGCCTGGGCCCTTGTCTCCCAGGCAGGCAGCCTGCCAGGGGAAACGGGACGGACAGTCTGCCCGAGGGCACCCAGGACCTGGCAGTGGCCACAGTGTCTGGCCGTGTCTCCAGAGCAGTGGTCCCATCCGAGAGTCCTTGGGTCCGAGGAGCCAAAGCCCTGCACTGGCCATGTCAGCTGCTCGGTACTGACCAGACCTGGCCTGTGGGCTGCCTGGAGAGGAGGCCACAGCGCCCCGTCGCCCACGTCACCTGGCCTCGTTGTCTCCCAGCACTAACGTGCCATCGCCAGCTGCAAGGCCACACCTCAGTGACCACGCACCCCAGCCTCTCTCCTGGGCCTAGTACAAAACAAGAGGGGGTTTGAACCGGGGCTCGGCCCCTGCCAGGGTGCCCAGGAGACCCCGTCCTGAAGCCCTCCCAGCTGAATGGCCACTGCTTCCCCCAGGAGGCCCTGGGCCTCACCTTCCACAGTGTCCTGCTGGTCAGCTGGAACAAACTCCTCGCTGGCCATCAATCTCCCAGACAGCCCCGAGGGTGGGAAAGACCCATAAAGCTCACACTTGAATAGTGCCCACCAGGCCCTTCCCCTTGTAAACCCCACAACCCAGCTGGAGGGCCATGGTCATTGTGCACAGTGACAGTGACCAGGAGGGGTGGAGGCCCTGCCCCCCACCGAGCTCGGCCTCTGGGAACTGCCCTGGGAGGCCCCCGCAGCCCACCGGGACCCCACCCCCACTCCCAGACGTCTGGCACCTGACCTTGGGCCTGGGCGGCTCTCAGTGCTCTCAGCTTGGTGTCCCCACCTGTGGAGTCCTCCTGTGGGTGGCCCTCGCAGCAGGGCCTGAGATAGTCCACCAGAACATCCCAAGGCTGGCTCCCCACAAAGCCACCGTGCTCTGAAGCCAGAGTTCCTTCTGGGGACCAGTGTGACAGGCCCCGCCCGCCCACAGCCGAGCACCCAGGCTGTGTGGAAGGTGCATGTGGAAGGTGCTGCCGGGTCAGAGGAGCCTTGTTCACAGGCTGACCCCGTCCAGGCAGCACCCGCCTCACGGTGGCTCCCTCCACAGCACCGGGAGGATCTTGGATGTCTCTGCTCCAGGTGAGGGCACCTTGCTTGTGCTGTAGACGACTACTTTGATGTTTTGATTTGAAATTCCAATAAAAACAAGTGTTTTTAAATCCTTTAATTCTACAGTAGAAGCCATCATGGGGCACGGGGACGTTTGCTCTTATTGCTTTTCCTGACCCCAGTCTGCACTTCCTGTCTGGCCGATTCTCTGCATTTCTCCCTGATGTCGCCCAAAGCCTCACAGCCAGGTGGTGGGTACCATGAGGGGGACAGTCCGCAGTCTGGGTGGTCTGGGGTGACCCTGGGACTGGATGCAGTGGGGACCACGGCCGCTGTGCCAGGCCAGGTCGGATGGCTGCAGAGGGATGGCCAGGGTGAGCTGCTGGGGTGCCAGGCCCACAGGCTGCATGGTCACAGCAAGCACAGGCACCGTGGTAGCCCCATGGGGTTTTTACGTTTATAGGAACAGGAGTTGTGAGATCAGCTGTCCCGTGGGCGCGGCCTGCCATGGGCAGCCTGGCAGAGGCCCTGGTCCTCTCCATGTCCTTCTCTGAGGGCACCGAGAAGCTCGCTCTCCAGCTTGCCCTTTAAACCTGAACCCTGTGGGGACGAGAAAGGACACCACCACAGACCACTGGGTGCCTCGGTGGACCCCAGACACTGCAGGACAGCCCGGCAGGGCACGATCCTTTCACCCTCACGCTCCTGCCCTGGAAACAGCTGGGACGAGCTGCGGTGGGAAGGCCCAGAAGAACATGCGTTTTTCTTGTCAATGTGTTTTTATTTTTAAACAGTATCAGATTCAGAAGAAAGAGGAACACAAAGACCAAATCCTTCACATTTTATTAATACGCCTAAGATTCTTATCCTGCATTTTTACAAAAAAAGTATGAAAATTTTTCAAAAATCTGAATATTAGACACATCGACAAAACGATCTGCAGAATCTTCCGGGACTCGCCCAGGAGAGGAAGCCAGGGGTGCTGGCCAGGCCCGTGTGCGCAAGATGTGCCTCTCGGGAATCACAGGAACCTCTGGGCGCAGCCACCGGCAGAGAGGCTGGCATCAGCTCTGCCATGTGTCCCAGACCATCCACGGCTGGAAGGCAAGAGGCCCAGCTCTGCCACACGGACTCCACACCTCAAAGGTGGGGACTGTGTCCGAAAGGACCCTCCGCTGCATGGACTCAGCAGAGCCCTGCTCTGGACAGAGGGTGCGGCGAGATGCACGGTGTTGTCGACTGACGGCTTTAGCAGCCCCCAGCCCCTCCTTTGATGTCCAGGGTCAAGGCGATCCTGGTCCCACCAGGGCTGGGAGGAGACGTGTCAGAGAACCTGTGATCTTTCCTGCAAAAGAAACAGCAGTAAAGTTTATTACCCGGTCCCAGGGAGGGATTCCTGCTAAAGAGCACCTTTGTGGGCCTCGGCTCTGCATCCGGAGGACAGGATGAGGCCAGGCCCCATCTTACACCCCGGGAGTGGTTCACGGTGGCACTGTGCGCCACCCCTGCCCTCACACCTGGCTGTGAAACCCTGTGGGCCATGCCTGGAGGCTTCCTCTACCAGGCAGACCCCAGGAAGAGCGCTCCCCTCAGACTCGTGTCCACCAGAGGCTTTGGGAAGCCTAAGCCGCCTGGCGAGAGGTGGCCCTGCCTCCCTCACACACCGGGGCGGTCACAGGCCCTGGCACCAGCCCATCTGCCCTGAGGAGTGGGAGCGCAATCCTTGGGGTCGCCAGCTCCACGATCTACAAACCCCCACACCATGGGAGCACATACAGATGGACACCACGCTGGCCGCTGGGGTCTGCTGCTGGCCGCTCAGGCCCGTGTCCGTGTGAGTGGACGTCCCACCTGGTGTGAGCTGCGGGCACTTACAAACGGGAAGGCTTTTGCTCAAGGGCTCGACTCCTGTTCCTGCTGAACTGAGCCAGTGTGTAAAATGAGAACTGATATCAGCTCAGTAGGCACCGGAGGGCGGGTCCAACTGACAGCCCGGAGAAGCAGTGCCTCGGCTGGAGCTCGTGCCATGTCCACCAGCGGCTGCAAACACAAGAGAGAGTTCACGGCGCCTGCGAAGTGACAACAGAGCCCCCCACAAATGTGACAGTCACAACGTGGCTTCACTGCACGCAGTTTTAGAAGGACAGCGCCTGCGACCTTTGGTACCTGACCCTTGCGGACAGCCTAGCAAGTGGGCAGACGGGTCTGCAGGAGACTGGGCAGCCGGTGCTCTGCCGCAGCCCTGGCAGCGGGCAGAGCGCCCGGGGCAGGGGTCTCCTCCAGGGTCGTGCTCCACACTGGCCGGGCGCTCAGCAGCACCGTCCCCGTCAGCCAGGCCTTGCACAGTGGCTCCGACTCAGCCGCCCGTCTCACCTTCTCTTCAGGTGCAGAACTTAGCCACTGTGAACAAGGCGGAAACCAATCACTGTTCACCATCAGCTAAGCTCTGCACCTCGTCAGAGAGGTCACCGCGGGCAAAGGTAAAGGGCCGGCGAGCGTCTTCCTGGCCGTGGGCGTCTTTGGTCTCCAAGGGCCACGAGGCGCCTCTGTTCTCCACGCGGCAGGCTGAGGGCAACTACAGGTTGGGGCGCAGCCAAGGTCGTGGTTGCGTGGTAATCCCTGGCAATGTGATTTTAATCTTAAGTCACAAATCAGCATGCCAGGAACCCAAGCAGCCAGGGCACTCGAGAGCAGCGCGGTGCGGGCGCTCCCTGGGCAGGCCGCACACCGCCAGGCCGGCGCACCGGCCGACAGTGCCATCCAGACGCCCAGGGGTTCGCGCCACCCAGCTCGGCACCCAGAGGACCCGGAAGGCCAGGGCAGCTCTGGAACGGGAGGTGGGCGCCCATCGGCCAGCCTGGGCAGAACTCCGCCGGCTGTCCTGCCCGGTTCTCAGCCTCCTGCTTCTGATTCTTGGAGACAAGTGCTTTCTCGCCTCAGATCTAAGTGGCCTGCCCAGGACATCATCTCTGGGGGCCTCTCCCAGGGCAGCAAGAGCTTCCTCGCTGAGGGTGCCACTCGGGAGCAGCCCTGGCTCAGCAGGGGCACAGGCGTCTGCTGTGGTCCCTGGGTTTGGCTACAAGAGCAGGGACAGGAACAAAGACTGTGCAAAGCGTGGCAGCTCTGGAGCAGGACGACTCCTCGGCCTGCTTAGGGACATAACAATGAAGTCACAAGGAGCTGGCACTCGGAGGACTGAAGAGTCACTCAGGAGGCTGAGGCAGAAGAACCACAAGGTCTGGGCGAGCCCAGGCAACTCAGCCAAATCTTGCCTCAAAGAACAAAAAGGCTGGGGATGTAGCTCAGTGGCAGAGCACCGGGTTCAGTCCCCAAATCGGGGGCCACTGGAGAGCTGGCCATGCCACAGCAACTCCTCCTGTGTGGTGCCATGGCTCCCGCAGCGGCTCCTGCTCAGCTCCTACCCTGCCCTGGGGAGCCGGAGCATCTGACGTCCCACCATGACACTGTGCGTCCCTCAGTTACTCCTACTGTTCCCTCCTCCTGGAAAACAGGGCCCAGAGTCTTCTGGAAGAGCACAATCACACTTGAGAAACCTGTCTTCCTCTTTAGTACCAGAGTTCTTACAGGAAAGTAAGACATTTAAACAGTCAACAGAAATGGGTTTGGTAAGAGCAAAACAGTGAACTAAATGTCCAGCAAAGCGCTAAGAACCTAGACTCGGATCCTGAGATATTCATTAAACCACAGGGAAGCTTTAGGACAGACGGACACTTGAGATCTGGTGCTGTTTTTAAAAAAAGGACACAACATTAGGCATATTATCTAAGACTCTGAAGAAAAGCCAAGAGGACAAATGGTTCTGACCGTTAGAGGAAGAGCACACCTGACCACCAGGGCCGCGCTCAGCCCCGGGGTCCCCCGCTTTAAGAATGCGGACACCCACGTTTAAAGACTGCCTGCCAGGAAGGAGAGCTCCCAGGCCACCTCCAGGCACAAGGAACGGGGAAGTCACTTAAGCAGAGACTGCAGCACAGTGAGGGGGAGGGAGTCAGGGTGGCACTGAGCGAGGTGCAGGCTGCAGGGACTGGGGAGCCTTGTGGAGGAGAAAGCGCTGCAGGCAGAGGATGGACGGCCGTGGACATGGAGAGGACCGGGGCCTCTGCCAGGCTGCCCGTGGCAGGCCGCGCCCACGGGAGAGCTGATCTCACATCTCCTGTTCCTATAAACGTAAAAACCCCACGGGGCTACCACGGTGCCTGTGCTTGCTGTTGACCATGCAGCAGACGAGGTGCTCAGGGACCCTGGCCTCATCCCCAGCGGGCTCTCTGCCTCGGCTAGAAGTGCCGCCCGCCCTGCAAGGCAGCAGGCTGCTGAAACCCTGGGGCACCCTGGTTTGCTGGGCTCCTAGGAGGGGCACGTGGCAGAGCACCTGGGTTCAGTCCCCAAAACCACAGGACAGACGGAGAAAATCACCTCTTTAGAACAGCATCTGGGCTACCACATCGGCTGAGGGTCCATCCATCTGCACCTTGGCCAGCTCGAAGCACCTGCGGGCCAGCTGCTGCTGCCGGGCATCCTCGCTCACCATCAGCTCCCCGTACAGGTACACGCCCATGGCCTATGGGCAGAAGCCACAGTGTCAGACACTCCTCTGCCAGCCCCGTGCCCTGGGCAGCCGTGCTGGCCTCCCCGATAGCAGGGAGCGGTCCTGTAACTCAGAGCCACAATGCCTGGCTCCTCCCTGTTCTCACCAAGGCCCCATGAGCCTCTACTATAGCCTCTGTCAACAGATTCTGGTGGCTTCCCTGGTGCCAGCGAGATGGCATCAGCAAGGCTGGGGTGGAGCCGGGGTCCCCACAACAACCTCCATGGGAACACGGGGGTCTGTCCCAGAGACAGGGATCCTTCAGGGAGTGTCCCGAGTGACTCCTCCTTAAGGCTGTCACCCACCAGGGCAGCAAGGAGCACACCACCCAGCAGCCATGGGCAGGGGGACCCAGTGCCTGTCCCTTCGCCTGCCTGACCACTTCCCACGGCAGCAGACACTGGTGCCCTGTTCTGAGGACGGTGCTGTGGAGACCCCATCTGCACTGCCCCACTCACTCACAGCCGCCAGCTGCTTCTGCAAGATGGGGCCCTGGGCCTCTGCCCGCTGTGCGTCCCACCCCTGGTCACCCCAGGATTCGTTCTGCTGGAGCAAATTAAAAGAAGTGCCGCAAGACAGCACAAGATAAAAACCCAGTGGTCAGGGACTGGAAGGTGCACTTCTGAGAGGCTCCGACAGGAGGCCCTGGCATGGTGAGGAGCGGGCTTGGGACGCTCCGCGGAGCCACCTTCAGGAAGAGCCAAGGTGCGTGCACACCTGCCCTTCTGCGCTCCTGCTCCACTGGGCAAGAGTGACATTTCTTTGCCACAGGTTTTATGCTGCTCTCAGTGGGGTGAGCTGCTCACTCACTGGCGTGCCCTGGTGAGACCCCACAGAAGTCCTCTTCTCCACACCATGCCCACTCTGCACCCAATGGACAGCGGCTCCATCCCAGTAGCCCACAGCACTGGGCAGGCAGCTGGTTCAGAGGCACTGCTGGGGGGTGGGAGGGGTATAGGGTCCAGTAGGTGCCCAGGGTGGTGATCCCCAGGATGTCCTACGGGGACATCAGAGGTGGCCAGGGAGAACATCCCCCAACACGTTTGCACACACACTTCCTGTGACCCCCAAGTGCAGTGCCATGACCTTGGCCAGGAGACCTGCAGTACACTTCCTCTGCAGAGAGGTCAGTGGTCCACGGCAGGCCAGACCCCAGAAGCACTTGGGGTGCATACCTCTCTGCCTCAGAGGCACTGCAAGGGGACAGGCTTACGGGGCAAGTGAAAGAGGCTGCAGAGCCACCTGGGCCTGAAGCCTGGGCTTGTGAGAGCTGCGAGGAGCCCTGGCGCTGTGCAGAGGGCGTGGCCGGGAGAGGCCAGGCAGGCCGCACTCCTCACCTGGTCCTCCAGAAGGAACCTCTCCACGTGCCTGTGCGCCTGGGCGTGCCTGTGCTTCACCACGAGCTCGCACCACCGGTGGCGGACCTGAAGGAGCAAGAGAAACCCGTAAGCCACAGGTGGACAAGGATGAAGAGCCTCCGCACTGCCCTGGCGGCTCTGTGGCTCAGCGCAAGGTCAACACCTTCTGCCATAAATTCTGTATTAGTCCCATTTATTTTTAGAAGGAAAAATCCAACTGCTGATCAGGAGGGCTGCTGGTCAACCCCAGGGGGGCCAGGGCCTGTGTCGGGTGGTACGTCCTTGGCTGTTTCAGACCCACCGCACGCTGACGACGCCAGAGAGGACTGGGAAGTGAGGCGCACGCTGGGCTGGCCAGGCGCCTCCCGCAGAGCCCTGTCCCTTCCCCGTGGCCACCCCTCCCTGCCCACAGAGTCGGTTGGTTCTCGGCTGCTAGTTCTAACCAAAAACCGCGAGGAGGACACCGCTCTCTGAGGTCCCCAAGAGGCCAAGGGCCCCTCTGCATGCATGGGAAGGAGCAGGGCAGGACGCCCTCCACCTGGAAGCCCCAAACGCGTGCTGCCCACATGCCTGCTGCCCTGGGCATGGGTGAGTCAACGGGTGCTGTTCCTGTGACAGCTGTGACACTGCAGTTACATCGGCAGGAAATCTGCCCGTGGCCACGGGCCCCTGGAATCTGCAGGTGCTGTGGTGGCCCCGCCCCAAGATGCAGGTGGGGCCACCAGGGCCAAGGGCGCTCTGTGGCCAGCCCTTCTCCTCACCCAGGCAGGCTCCTCACAGGAGGTGTCACCTAGCGCTCAGGCTGCAGGGCCACCCTGCTGCTCGGTGCCTGAGCCCTCCACATCACACAGCCACTGGGACTTCTGTTCCCCTGCCGCTTTGGCACCACCCAGAAATGGACACGATCTGTGGGGGTTTTTCTATGAAGTTTAACATCTCTGCCTCCATTTTGCTGGGAGTGGACCTTCATTTTATTTTATGTGGTGCAGAAGATCGAACCCAGTGCCTCACACGTGCCAGGCAGGTGCTCTGCCCCTGAGCCCCAGCCCAGCCCACAAAGCCTCCTCGCATCACTCTAGGTCCGTGCCGTCGTGACGTGACACTTCCTCGTGATTCGGTTGTGGCAATGAACCAGCATTGTGGCTAGAGCCCTGCAGGCCACACTGTCACCCACGGACCTGGCTCATCTCTCCTCCTTCTACCATAAGCAGATCCAGCAGCTAACGGTTAAGAAGGGGTGAAGGAAGGAAAGCTCTCAGGAAGGCTCCACCAGGCTACAGGGCACTCCAAGACCAGGTATTGGGCCAGCGCCACCCCCTCAACTTCTGGAGCAGAACCCCTGGGACTGGAGGAGTTTCAGAGGCATAGGGAGATGAGCTGATGGCCCTGGATCCCCACAGCCAAGGGGAAGCAGGTCGGGTGGCAAAAATCTCTGCACCTTGGATAAAACGTGCTCTCCTCCACAGCCGGGAAACCCACGGCAGGCCGCACGGGGAAGGGCAGCCCACAAGATGTTCTGCACAGAAGGAGCAAGTGGACAAAGCACAGAGGAGCCAGCTCACCACAGTGCCCAAGTCCTGGAAGCCAGTGGGACACGGGGCCCATCCAGGGCCACTCCAGTTCAGAGGCCTTGCCCCTTCCCTTCCTCCCCCTCATGGTGCCTCACACTCCGCAGACAACCCTGAGGAGGGCCCAGGCGGGTCAGTACAGGCAGCACCTATGCTCAGCCCCAGACCGGGGGTCCCTGTTCTGCATCAGTCCTGGGGATTTGGGAAAGGGCCTTGCTTCTCTCGACTGCCAAATGGGAACGAGGGGCATACTGATGACCAGTCCCGGTGTGACCTGACCACCTGTGCTTGGCCAGACAGGTGAACGCAGCACTGGTTTTCAGACTTGGGGACAGAGGGTTCAGCCCCACCTTCCTCTCCGTGTTTTCTTGGACTCATTTGCACATACAGGAACCACAAGGCATGAGCTAGGCCTACTTTGGGCAGTGGCAGCCTGTCACCTGTCACAAGGGGGTGGGCCTCTTTCAGGAGGCCCTCCACAGCACAGTGAATCCTGGCTTCCGCTTCTGCTGAGACCCCAGAGGACAACGCAGCGCCCCACAAGGCCAGGCAGCATGCAGCGGCCTTCCCGTCAGCCCACCGCACTCCGCACTAGGGCGACAGTGTGCAGGGCGAGCTGGCCAGCAGACAGCACCTGCTGGGCAGCATCTGGCCCTTCCCAGGGCTTCTCTGGGAGACAAAGGGCAGTCCTCATTCTTCTCTCCAAACTCACAGGCCACTGCCTGCCAGGGGGACTGGGAGCACCCCCGACACACTCCCAGAAGTACCCCAGGGAGACTCCTGGCCCTGGAGACGCTGCGCTGGTGGGAGCAGGCCCCGCTGCCGGGGTGGGGGACAGGGAAGCACAGATCACACCGCACACAGAAGCAGGCCATAAGAAACCCAGGTCCCCCCGTACATCTGCCTTTTTTAAGTGAAAGACTCAATTAATTAAATAATGGGGTGGTGGTCAACTTGTCTTTTTTTAACTTCTCTGTCAAGATTAAGGATAAGCCACAGGAACCCTGCACACATCTACGCAGACCTGATACCCTGCAGGTCTTCCACGGTCTCTCGTCCTGGGTCCCAGGCTCCCTCCGCAGCACCTGGGGGAGAAAGGCCTCCCGGCAACCCTCCCTGTGTGGCCAGGGTGAAGGCCGTGCTCACTCAGAGGCTGAGGGCATGCGGGCGGCCGCCGGCCTCACTCCACTAGCCACTGTGCCATCGTGTACCTAGGAGACGCATGCTTGTCTGTCCTCGTCCCCTGGGCTGGAGCAGCGGATGGCTCAGCGCTCCTCAGGGAGAGACACTGGGGTGCCTGCCCTGGAGGGCACGGAGGAGCAGCAGTGAGGGCCACGTGGAGACACTGCCCACCCCTTGCAGGAAAGGCAGGAAGGAGACCTAAGTTGGACCGTCTCGCCACGCAGGCTGCTCAGGCCACAAGCCCACGCTCAGGCAAAAGAGCTTAACGTCAACCTGGGCGGCGGAAAGGGCTGTGGACTGCACTCAGTGATGTTAGGGACTCACTCCTGCAAGCCTGGAGGAAGCCCAGTCGGCAGCAGAGACGGGGAGTGGGGCTGGGGGGCACCGCACTGTTTGACACCAAGACCCCAAAGTCGACCTGTTTCTGACCTGTGCACACTAGGATTGTTTCTAGATGAAAATAAAACATATTCTAAGTAGATGTTCTTCCTACCCCTGTGCCCACTCAGCCCCTGGTCCGTCCTGTGAGCAGCCACCATACCCGTTCCACACACAACACAGACAGACGACAACGTGCAATGCACTGGTTCACACTATCACTAAAAGTGAGTTTACAGAATGTCTTGACTGACCGTTCCAGGAGTAGAGAAAGCAACGGTGCTGGGTATTCTCCTGCAGCATAACTTAGCAGACCCAGTGGACATCTGTGACAACAAAGACTAAAAACAACTTCAGTGCCATTGAGACCAGGGCACAGGGCGCTCTGAGGGGCTCTGCAGGCTCCTCTTCAGAGGTGGGGTCTCCAGAGCAAACTATGCACACCTCTTCCTCCGACAGAGAGCAAGGGGCTTCATGAGGTGGAGCAACGTACACTCCTGTCTCCGTGGCAGACCACCACGCTGGGTCACCGGGCTTGGGGACAGTGAAAACTGGCGCCGGTGGAGGTGTTTGCTGCCCTCGAAGCCAGAGTCTAAGAAGGGGCTATTCCCAGAGCTGGAGGCAGCTGAGGTCAGGGCTCCACTGCCAGGGACAGTGCTCACTGCCCACTGGCCCACTCCCCACTGGCTGAGGGGTGGGAGCTGCTTCTAGAACAGAGGGGGAATGAGGAGGCCCAAGGTGACAGGGTGACTCGGGCCCAGGTGGACAGTCGCTCTGGGAGGCTCAGAGGCCCTTCGACTAAGAGCATGGTGGACCTTCTCCATGGGTGTGAAATTCTCTCCATAGCTGCTCATGTACTGCCATGTTTGTTCCTAGTCATTGACTTGTTAGATGCTTTTGAACGCTGGGGAACTTGGCTCTCATCTTTGATTGAATTGCAAACATTCTCTCCTCTGTGCCAACCTTCTTCTGCAGTGTGCTCACGGTGGCTCTGCCTGTGCTCCTGACTGTGGAGCTGAGGTCTTTTTCTCCTAATGGCTGCATCTCATGAGTGTGCACACGTCCAGACCCACCAAACTGTACACTGTAAGTAGGCACGCTTTATAGTTCTCCAGTCATCAGTAGAGCTGGAAATGCAACGCTCACACAGTGACGAAGGCCCCCAGGTCACTCAGACCCCACCGCGGGACGGACGGCGGCCCCACAGGCAGTGCCACCCACAGCGGTATTTGTGGCTCTTTCCTGCTTCACAAGGTCCACTAGGTGCTGGTTCTATAGGATTTAGGAGCAGGGACTCCCAGGATGTCTGGTAGCTGATTAAGTGGCCGCCTGCTCTTGTTGAGGGGGCTGGTGACTTGTGGGGGGGACCGACAGGGCTAGGTGCCAGGAGGTAAGGGTGCAGCTATGCAGCTGAGGGGGGGCCTGGGAGCTCGAAGTCCCTAGAAGAGGGCAGGCTGAGGACCGGAGGACAGGAGCCCCTGGGGGGGGAGGCCGGCAGGGGATGGCACTGTCAAGCCACACCCCAGGGAGTGCCTCAGGGCCTGAGCACCTGCAGCTTCTCCAACCAACTGCAAAGAGCACTCACTAAGCCTGTCCCCGCACAGCCAGCCGTACGGAATTTCTGTCCTTTTAAGGTACTTATAAAGACCCAAAAGGCCGCACGGGGCTGACTGCTCGTGGCTGAAGCTCGGCACAGGCCGGCTCTTCCATTCCCAGCAGAGATCAGAGCACAGGGCCGCCGAGCTGGTCGTTCACATCCCTAAACTCAGACTCAGGGCCCAGGTCCCACGACCAAGCGGCACAGCCCGTGACAGGTGACTCTGTCCTGGAGCACAGCCCATCGACCCGACATGCTCCACCCAGGCCCTTCAATGTGCTCTGAACCAGCGTCCGACCACACTCTGGGGTGAGGGTGTCACCTGTTTTCTGTTGAAGGTA